CCTAAACCCTAAACCCCAGGGCAGAGGTGCCTGCTGAAGTCATTGACAGGGAACAGCTGGAAACCTCCGATCTTCTCTGGGTCCTTGTTATATAATAGGGTTTAGGGTTTAGGGTATAAGTTATATACATTTTTTTTCATTTTTGGTATAATAAAACTCAAATAAGACTTAAATATGATCAGTTTTAATATGGCCCCAGACAGGGAACCAGTTCTCTTGTGTTAGGAGAGCCTGAAGGCACTTTGCTGCAGTCCTTGTCTGCCTGGGCCCGACAAATTCGCCAGGGGCCCCTTGTATGCGACTCCATGGGTTGTGGGCGGCATCCACAACCCAACCATCGACCCGGCAAAGCATTTCAGCACTCAGGACTGGGATGCCGGGGTCTAAAGAAGAGGAAGAATCTAAACTCTCTGAAGGTCATTTAATATGAATCCTTGCAACAGTATATGGGGGAGGCTAGGACTATGTTGAATGAGGGTGACTGGCATGCGCGTATGCAAAGTAATGAGGATAATTAGGGTTGAACGTGTTGGGTTTTGGCCTCCTTCGGCGATCAGGGCTTTTAGGTTTAGGACAGTTTAGGGGCTTCAACGCTGGATGCTCTTCACTTGTCTGAGTAGTCGCGTGAAGCATGCAGGATCGTTTCCAGACCGCCGCTGGTCTGCAACAGTTCCCGGTAAACGTGTCAATAAAAGTGTGAAAGGGTTTGAGGGTCGGATGAAGGTAGGTAGGAAGGTGGGGCAATCCTTGACAAGGGTCCTTGGCCGAGGGATCCTACTTGTTCTGCAAGCCCTGGACCCTAAACCCTTTGTGCAGAGCTGTCCTGCTGCTTCCTTTAAGGGGTTCCGCTAAGGATGCCTTATGCCACAGAAGAAGGGCTTTTTATCTTTGCAGAAGGGGTCAATGCAGCCCCGTTTGCCTGCCCGCAAGGGTTGCAGGCTCTCGTGCTTCGTGCAGTCACCAAAAGGCCCTCAAAAAAAAAACTGCCAAAACGCCCTCAAAAAAAAAAAACTGCCAGAAGGCCCTTAAAGAGAAAAAACTGCCTTCCACTGGCCTTGCAGAGCATGGAAGCCACTGCAGTTTAGATGAAATCCACAACCCGGGATCGAGGTTAAAAAAGGCCTCTAGAGGGCGACTCAGGTAAGGAAAGCCCACGTGTCTGAGCTTTGGAAGCTGGTAGGGTAGGGTTTAGGGTTTAGGGTTTAGGGTTTAGGGTTTAGGGTTTAGGGTTTGGCGTGTAGGGGGTTTAGGGTTTAGGGTTTGGTGTGTAGGGGGTTTAGGGTTTGGGAGTTAGGGTTGCGTTCCATGCACCTCGAGCAGCAACCTTTTTCCAGGTCACTACCGCGGAGTACATCAAGTGCTTCATCTACAACATGCTCCCGGCTCGCCTGGGACGCAGCAAAAATCTTTTGGTAAGGGTTTAATATAGGGGCCTAAATATTTAATTACCTATACTATTTTGGTTGGGGGGTTCCTTATTATTATTATTATTATTTTATTTATACTTATAGCATAATGTACCCTCAAACCTTATTCGAACGATTTGAGGCCCCCCGGCCTGGTCTGGAAGCAGAAGAGTAGTTCTCTAACTTAAGGTCCCTTCGGGGGGGGGGGGGGGGGGGGGGGGGCTTTTTATATTGAGCCGCGATGGTCAAATGGCATTCTCCAAGTTGAGGTCCAGCTGCTTGGGGGTTTAACTGCTGCTGTTGTTGGGAGGGGCCACGAGTCTTCATGAACGAGCTCCCTGGCACTTACGGATCCGTTGTTGCGTACTTACGGTGCAATGCAAGTCCGGTCCTGCCGCAAGCAAGAGTCAAAGAGCTCGTTGTGACTGCTGTGCTTTTGTCTGGCCTGCTGGAACAACGGCATTTGATTGTGCAAGCAATCCCGACGTAGGATCCTTCGGCTCAATCTTGGGCTGATCGCGACAAGCTTGCTACAGGGCTTCTGCTGCCGCCTTGCTCCGGGGAGAGCTATCCGTCGAGTCCGCCGCCTTGTAGCGTGGATGCAGGCCACGATGCATGCAGCATACGTGGGTCTGTGTGCAGGTTCGCGGTTGTGTGCATTGTATGCACGGTCCCATGTTTAAGTCCAACTGTGTGGTTGGACACAGCAGCATGATGACGTATGCGGGTCTTCTGGGATGAGAAACAAAGGCACAGTATTGCACACATGGATGGGGAACTACTGCAGATACACAGTATACAGTCGAAGCCTGCATCCATTCCCTTGTTCGCTGCAGTCTCACATCAATTGGGTCGTGTCGGGGAACGATACGCGCCATCCGTGTGGCAGTTCGATCAGTTTCGCGGTTGCTTCGTTTGCCCTGACGACAGGCGGCCTTGGGCGATGCTAGCTCGGCGGACGCTGCAAGTTTGGCCATGTTGGGATCTCGACCTCAGTTTCAAGAACAAGATGCCTTGAGAGATCGCGGCAAACCCTCCGCTTGCAATAGGGCTCGGGCTGCGCTGTGCAAGGTAGCTGTACAGTTCAGCATCTGTCCTGGCACGACGATACCGTTTCAGCTGCCCCAGCGAAACGCATTGCACGCGAGACGCCAGGATGTTTTACATGCGCAAAACTCAAAACGGGACTTCCCAATGCTTGGACATCCGGGCCAAGGCCTGCTAAAAATATAAAACTTGCCATCATTGAATCCGAGGAGTAGACCAGAAAAAAACACAATGCGAAATCCGCCTGGATTCGTTTTTCCAAATCATTGACCAAATCTGTAGATGTCCCGAAACATCCTGAGCACATCCGGTTCAGCCCATTATAATCATCTCATATCATTCTTCCTTGCCTTGCCACTGCCGCAACTCCCCTTTTTCTTAGCGCTATTGTTGTTGCATTGCCCTGTTCAGAGGGATCTCCCGTCAAAGTCCCAAAGTTCGTAAACTGCAATCTAGAATCTAGATGACATGCACAAAGATCTTATGAGTCATGAGATTGGTGATTTGTGCCGGAGGCGTGCGTGCTACTCGGGCTGACAGAGAACTTTCCGCTGGAATCTTTGATCACAAAGGGCCATCCGAAATACAGATTTGGCAAATAAGATTTTTTGTTTCGAACTTGTCACGACTCAGGTCTGATCATCACTGCTGCCCATGCCGGGAAGTTTAAATTGCACACGTGCGTCTGGCGGGTGTGCAGCCATGTTGAGGAGAAGGGAGCACGTCAACTTTTGCAGTAGTTATTTCGGACATACGCACCAAGTAGACCGTGCACATCATGCATAAGGGGTCATGCATCAACACATTCCTGTTTATGCACATGTTTGTCTATATTGAACGGACATGTCTCTCTTCCACTCTTTCTTTCCGTCTGCAGGTCTCAGCCGGTCTCAGCGGAAAGAAGTCGTGACGCCAATGCGCCACTCCTCTTTTTCTGTCCCTCTTGCTCTCCCTCTGTGCCAGTGTTCTCTGTCACTGGTCAACTTTAGCTTATCAGGACCTCTTGGCCACCCACGGCGTGTGTCGACCAGCGCAAAGTCGATTGACTGCCTGGCCAGCTGTCACACAGCGACGCTGCCGAGATCGAAGAAGAGCATATAAATATAAATAACAAATAAATAAATACATATATATATATACATACACATCTCCCTCATTCCCGTGGGACAGCCAAGTGAGCAACAACTGCAGGCTGCCTTTTCCTGCGATGGGCTGCTGCCAGTCCGGCTGCGGTGTGCCTTTAAGCTTGCTGGCAGTGCTGCTGCCGATGTTCCGGCATCGTCGTCTTCTTAGTCTTGACTGCTCCAACCATACTATAATCATGTTTATAGTTTACTTGGACTCTTTTTGAAGCTGTCGGAAGCCGGAGTCAACAGGCAGCCACCAGGCTGAAGGCCATGCCCTCTCACTATCACAAGCAGGCACTTTGGACCACATCAGGACTTGACATGCACGACTGCCCACAAACTAAGATGATGCTTGGGCGATGCATCCTTGCTCCAGTCGAGGATGGCAATGGAAAGACTTGCCCGCAATAGACTTTGGTGATGCTGCTCGCACCCACCGTACGGTGCAGCCCTCACAGCTCTGATCCGACCGGAACGTAGCGATGCCTGGGCTTCTAAACAAAGACAGCCAGAAGTTAAAATATTTCTCAGCCTGGCTTAGAAGGATCACTGCACTACGCTCTTTCCAAACTTAGCTTGTAGGCAGGAGGCACAACTCCAACAGTTGCCTGCTCCTGTGCACAGGCGTCAGAGAACTATTGAACCTTGTGACAAGGACCTAGGCCCGGCGGCAACCCAGCGTCCTCCAAGCAGCCAGCAGATCCGTGGTCGCTAGAAGCTTGCTCGCTATCCTCCTGGCAGTGAACTCAGGAAATCAACTTCTCACGGTCGAACAGGTGCGTCTTCGAGGATACAGGAGATCATGTCACTAGCAGTCCTCGTCATCATCTCCCTGCTCTTCTTCCGCTTTATTCCTGGCTTCCTGGCTCAGGCCAATTTGACCCATCTGGCGCGATCTGCTGCGAAAACAGTGAGAGCCTGAACTAGCAGCATCTCCTGCCACAGGTGAACCTACACGACTGAAGCTGCCTCTTCTGCTTGGATTCGCCGCGCGATGCCTGAGCAAAGATCAGAAGTGGGATGATGGGATGATGGGAGGGACGATGGGAAAGGCATAAGCAACGAGTCAGTTTCAGTATCAGTCACAATGCTTCCAGTAGCAGTGGCAGCGGCAGCAATCCGATTAGTGGTTATGATGAGAGCAGAAACGGCCGCGGTGCAGCCATCACGGTGGTGGCGGCAGGGTGGTAGTCGTGGAGGAAAGAGGAGTAGTAGCGGTAGCGGTGGTGGTGGTGTGGTGGTGGTAGTGGTGGTGGTAGCAGCAGCAGCGGCAGCAGCAGCAGCTCAGTATGGATTTAGACTCCTGTCCAATGTGCCCCTGATGGTCCAGAGTCCGCTCTCCCAGCAAACTTTAGACAGCTGTTGTGGCTGCAGTTGTTATAGTTGTTGTCGTGGCAGCAGAAGCAGTGGCAAAGGCAACAAAGGGATGATTCATAGCCGTAGGCCGTGGCGGCACTGCGACATATTACACCTTGCATATAAGCAATGGTTGAGCCTCTGGCGTATGAGCTTGGCCATGAACAGGCCACTGCCCGAGGCTGCCACGCCCCCCTCGATCCCGAACGCCTTGGCAGGATATTGGGATAAAGTTTACCATGAATTTGAGAACAACATACTTTCTGGCTTAACGGTCCCTGCACTGCTTTTCAGCTTTAGGTTCGGTGGCTTCTAATCAGTCGTTTCAAAACCCAGTCCAGAATGCCGTCTCCAAGGTACGACACGCAGCTGCGCGCGGCGCTGGAGGAGTTGCTCCGCATTCCATTGAGCTAGGAAGGCCTCGGACAGGGCTTTGCAAACTGCTCTGAAGTCAGCACCGCACAATGCATTTAGTGGAGTCAAAGCGCTGTCTGGTGATGCGGCCCTTCCAAGAAGGACGTCAAGCTTCCTCTGCGAGCCTGCAGCGCCGTGCGGCCGCTTCCGGGGCATGACTCCCAAGTCCATCAGAGCAGGACCTAGAGCGAAACTGCCTCTGCTGCAGTATGGCGTAAGCCCATGCCCAGTGGCAGTGAGAAGAGCTCCTGGCAAAGGCCAAACAAAACAGCAAACTGGCGGCACGTCTTCACCGAGTGCTCCTCTGAGGCGAGCGGCTCTTCTCCGCTGTGGAACCAGCCTTATCAGGTACCGGATGGTCCCAGTGATCATTTATCTGGAGGGTGTGCACATGGGCGATGCGACAGCCTGCTTTTGAAGTCCTTTTCCGCTGTAGACTGCCTGCTGACATAGCTTAGTCTGGCCTCGACGAGATTTTCATTTCGTATATACTAATTAAATGGCACACAGAACACGTCATTCCGTTGCCAGGTTCAGTGGCCATATTTTGTTCCTGGGCATTCGATCTCATGAGTGATGACGGCTTCCTCGAAAAGTTGCCGTCACACCGGGCGTGACTGCGTCGCCGTGTTGCCACAAGATGCTATAACCTCTTTTGTCCAGACTCCTGAAAGACGTGCGACGTCTACCCAGCCTCTGTTCTCTACAAACATCTCAACACATGAGAGAGACGGGATCGGGGCAAGGGACCGGGTCGACTCGTGCCCTTTTCTATGTGGCCATCTCCTGCCCAGCTGCTCTCCACTGCATGTGCGACCGCACCCAGGTCCAAGGGCATGGCAACAGATTTAACTTCGGGGATGGCACTGGGGCGGCTGTGAATTCTGGGTTGTGCTAGCCTGGGACTTAAGAAGCATTAGTCCTAATTGGGCATGGCTAGGGGCGATCAGAATCAAGACGGCTCACGTCTCGGATCAAGCCAAAATGCAACAACGAATAGGGTCTGGGAGTAAAGCAGCGTCTCAGATGGAGGGCAACCTCGTAACATTGCATCCTCCCACCTCGGAGGCAGCCGCGGCATCGCGCTCTGCCGCTCCCCTAGCACAAATGCCATTTCGTATGTTTGTTCGAGTCTTGCCAGTAGGAACTCCTCGAGGAGTAGCGGCGTCTTGTTTCGCAGGTCAACATCACCGACGACAGACGTCTCAGTGCAAGCATCATGTTTAATGTCGCGTTGCAAAGTGGTGAAGACCTCAGGCGAATCTATCATCAGTGCAGTCAGGTGCAAGAGTGTTATTGAGGGCAGATCCTCTCGATCGACGAACAATCTGATGCTTTTGCGACGGCAGTGCTTCAGAGCCAAACCGCAAAGCGGCTGGAGGAGTCCGAATCCCAAAGAATATTCAGCAGACTGGTCTTACTCAATCCGTTTGAAGCGCGGCTCAGGGCAAAACCAGCGTCAGGACCATCATCGGAGGGGCAGGGCCGGAGTCAGCAAACAAAGTCAAAAACAGGAGGCCATGGTCAGCAAACAACTCGGACACAAGTCACAAACACCGCAAACGCAATCAGAAACGCTCAAGGCCACTGTCGGAGGCGCCCCCGCCAGAAATTGCAAACACGAAGAGGTTGCCCCTTGCCCTGGAAATGCAGTGCAAGATTGCCATACATGTCCACGCCAGTCTTGTTCTGAGGGCTGCCAAGCCTACGTTTAACAAAAACTCTAACATCATCACCAGCCTTAATATTCGGATAGTTTCTCAAATATTTTTCTTTTATTACAGAATTTGCTTTTACTTTTATACTTTTCTCGTCTTTGTGTGCATCATTAGGAGTTAGTCCAGCGGCGCTCTGTATTTATCTTGTTATTATACTTATCTAATACGGTTTTCACATTATATAGTCCCAAAACGCCTTGAGTAGTTGTAACCTATCACTTACCATCTTCTTTGATGTTCTGATCATCGTCTCCGCCACATTCGCCTGTGTCAGTGTTATTTTATGTGCTATTCCCTCGTCATTAAAATGTTTTTTTGTAACTTGCTTGAATTAAAACTACATTCGCCATCGCTCTATATACATATATATGTTTTCCATTGTTCATCATTAACTAATGAAAATTCAACTCCATGTTTCCCTTGTCTTTCCATCTCCGTGCTTTGCTTAAAACCATATCTTCAACAAAATAACAACTTGGATGACAATTTTTTTTAAAGTGCCTCTCAATGTAAACGGAACAACCTTAAGCGATTTATATGCGACTATAAACTATGTAGATAATGAAAAAACTAATATTAACGTCGGTTCAGGTGGAGGTGATGGGGGGAATAACACAACAGGATTTAGACGATGCTGTACATCCAACTGTCGCCATTAATGATGGTCAGAACTTCGTAATTTGCGATATAAGTACTAACGTTGCCAATAACTTCCAAACAACAGCTCAATTAAATGTTAGTTTTTATAGTAAACGAGAGGTTGATGGTGCTATTGCTGTTGTTGATGGTAAAACACGTACTAACTTTAATGCTATTTTGCCGTGTCGGGCGCTTGCCGAATGCAAGCTCCCTGTTTTTGACTGCTGGGGGTCGTGCTGACTCCCGGCCTCCCTGTTTGTGACAGGTTGCTGTCTGTTTCCTGACTCCTTTTGCTGAAAGTGGCCGCGATTTGCTGAATCCGGCTACTCTGATCATCGGAGGAGCCCAAAGTTACCCTAAAAACACTGACCAGAATGTAAACCATAATTACAAGTAATATTACGATTGTTGCTGTTATTACCATGATTATTGTGATGCTAACTCCACCTGGCTCCTCCTCTCCGAGGCCGTGGAGGAGAATCCTGGCACGTCCCTAAGACATATTCTGAGTCATTCTAGCTATGTTGTTATGGGTCCTACGGTCCTACAGTATGGATCCAAAACGTCTCTGTTTGAGTTGACCTTACACCGACCCTCTTTCTTGCAAGCGAGGCCTCAGAGTTTTCGAAGGGTTGGTTTTGGCTGCGGGGCCATGCAAAGATTCCGGAGACAAGCTCGATGATTTAAAGCCGGCATTGCTGGAAAATCGGCGTTCGTAGCCTGCACCCAACAGCCCCTTGATCAACGGCAGCCCGTTCCTTTGAAAACTGCGCTGGGGCCCAAAATCTCCCATCAACGAGTTCTAAATCGAAACTGAAGTTCTTGATGCCGGAATGGTCCAAGTCAAGCACGGTGCTTCGGATGCATGGTTCTGACCACCCCACCGGCCTCATGGGCCTCTTTCTCCTTCGATCCTGGCGATCCTGGAGCGATACCACAAGTCTGAAAAGTCTCAGAAAGATCGACCACTGCCGATAGCTCAGCTGTTCAGCTCGCGATTTTCTTCGATGGCCCCTGACCCTCAGGATGCCTTGTTCGACACGCGCCGCACTCTTCACCTCAGCTTCGCTGACCAAGGGACGTGCAAAACGGCCCGGAGTAAGATCACACGGTCGTTGGGTTGCATCATATGCACCAACTGTAGATCTTCGAGTAGCCGTTCCGCAAGCAAGATTCCTCTCACTCTCCCAGTCTGGGCAAGTCATACTCTCGAGGGCTGGAGTCGCTGCAAATGCTGTCGTATTGTGGCGGTTTCTGTATTTTAAGCTTCTCGCGAACTCGTCCGTTCTTTCCTCGGGTGGCGACCCCCGAGAATTGCTTTCTGTCAGCAAACAAACCTAGCGGTCGCTTGTCTGCGCTGAGGGCCCTGCTTTCTCCTGCCTCATTGCACCATGCGAGCTCAAACTGCCAACAACTCGGCACAGCTCCGAGGCTTCGACTTTTCATTGTCTTCTGCTAGCTGAAAGCCCTAGCACATGAGGTGCCATGATCAGCCGAAGCAAACCTCTGCTGTTGCATTGCAGGCAACGATGCCGACAAAGCCTTCAGCAAGGGCTCGATGTCAGCCAGCGCAGGGATAACCGTCATAACTGGCAGGCAGCAATTTCTAAAAAATGCTTCCAGTCTGCGAGGTGCATGGTTCCAACAAGCCAATAACAAAAGCGCTCCGGTCTCCGAGTTCCTGCCCACAACTTCCCGGAACCTGGTGCCGGGCCCCCGGAAGGGCGAATGCGCCCGTTTCGCTCTGCGGCACCTTAGCAAGTGGAGCTTTAGCGACAATTGATGCTGTACTTGATGTTGAGGTTACCGGATGTGCACATGTACGTGGTACACCCATCTATTTACATGTGGGTACGTGTACGCAATACGCACATATATGTTTTGTCATTTGTAGCGACACCAATGGTATACATCATTGTGCATCTGTCTGTCCGTCTACCCTCCTACCCACCTACTCATCTGCCTATCTGCTTTTTCTGTTTTCGCCCGCTCTCCCTTTGCTTTCGTACAAGCATGCATGCATGCTTTTGCGATCCACAATGCATGCCTGTGTAATGTGTTTGTTTACATCGTCGGCAGGTATGCCAACGGACAAGTACACATCTGAATCCATGTCTGGTCTATGGCTACCTACATTTCTGTGCACAGGCGAAAAGGATTCCCGACCCAAACCCTTTGTCGCTGTGCTTTGTTGCATGCTCCACCATCCCAGGCACGAAGGCCTGTCCCCGGAGTAAGAGTCAGACTGGACGAGCTGGGAACGTGCCTGGGACAGCCATCTGGCCTGCGGAATGGTGCAGCCTCTCCCAAGCTCGAGTGGTGAGTGCTGCAATGCTGGGACACCCACCCGAGAGCTGAGCTCACGCTGACCAGGGTGTACCTAGCGGCAGAAGGCTCGAAGACGAAGATCTAAAGCAGAAGAGCACGCGCTTCCGTGAGGGCACTTAGGGGGCTGGAAGTGGGTCTGCTCCGCGAGGAAAGTTCCCGCCTGGCCGAAGGTGTGAGCACCGGAATCACCAGATCCATGCAGCTCATGGGAGGCGTGCCAGCTGGGTGCGGGTGCCACCGCTGACCCCACCACCCATTTCCTTTGGAGACATCCGTCCGACGATGCAGTGAATGCGCATGCTTGGTCGCGAATATCACAGATCGCACATCAAGCATTTCATCCCAAGCACTCCTCTGGAGATAGGCTGGGTTCACGCGCAGCTGGAGCATTGGCAATGTACTTATCTAGCCTCTGTTTGCTGTGACAATTGCAGGGTATTGCAGGTTCAATGGCTCGTGAGAGCTGAATCTACGAAGTCTGCCATGTTTCTGCAGGGTAGGCCAAAGCTTATCTTAACCGAGGACAAGATAAAGACCGTATTGACATGAGCTCTGGCAATTTGGCCTACTGAGCCAGAAGGCATTCCGCATGCACGGCTGCTAGGTGCCGCTTGTATATTTGCTTTGCTATCGCCAGCTTTGGCTGGTGGAACAACTCGAGGCACTCACACACGCACACGCATGAAAGCTGCGCATGTTGCACCAATGCTGCACCTCTGAATTCGGGGGCCAGCCGAAGTTGGCCGTGTAGTCTGGCGGGCCGGGCAGGGATACAGCACAAGCTTTAAGAGGTCTTGAAGTTCATGTCTTTCACACCGATGGCGCTTGTTCAACATTCCTCGTAGCGGCAGGCTGCCGGAATGTTGCGCACTTTCTCGCAAAAGGGTTTTTGCGCGCCTACTGCCGGACCCTTCAGGCCTTTCCTCCAGTCTCTGTTGTATACAAAACAAACTGAGACATGCGAAGAGCACCAGACAAAAGCTTGGGGAGTGGCAGGGCCCCTGCCTAAGCCACAAGGATCGCCCCGAGCGGCGGCCACCTGGACATAGCGTGCAGAACGGAGCAAAGAAAAAAGGAAGGCTTAAGCTTGGGAAGAGAGGGAGCTTCTGCTTTCAGTGCCAGTTGCTCATGCCTCCAAGCTCCCTTTCACGGTGCATTTGCTTGCAAGTGCGGAAGCACCGACAACCCTGCAACTGCACTTCTGCTTTTTAGTGCTGTCGCCTTCAACACTGCATTGTTCTCAGAAGCTTTCGTGATGTGAAGACTAGCGCCCACCATGTCGCTCGTCTGAAGGACCTGACCTGCTGTTGGACGTGGGATGCCGATCGAGGCGGACCAACTGCACCGAATTGACTGGGTTCATGCGATTCGGTGGCCTTCAGGCGCTTCTGGCCACAGTGCTTGCAGTGGAGAATGTCAACGGGGCATGGTCGGCTGCAGGTCGTGCATGCAACCTTAGCGGCCGCACAAGCACAACCCGTAGTTCGTCGTGCAGATCTTGCCTTCTACGATCACCTAAGCACGAAAAAACTGGTTAGCTTCATACATAGGCACTGAAAGGTAGTGCTTCTCAGGCCAAATCAATCCGCATGTTGTGTGCCGCCAGAAAAGACTACAAGCCCGTCCGTCTAGTTTGGAAGCTTCTAGCCCCGGTTTCCAGTCCTTATCACGCTGACCTCCTGAGAAAGCTGAAAAAGGCAAGCCAATTCAGGTGTTTTGCCAGTAAGGCCGCTGCCATGCCAGACCTCGCAGGACTCTTCCCTACACTTGTTTGCGACTTGAAGGCTCAGCTACCGTTTACAGGCTGTTTACAGGGAACCGGGTCTTATGCGAACGGGGTATCGACTGCAGAGGCCCTGCATGTTATGACTGCAGTTTGACAGCATGTCGGCATGAAACCATTCCTAAATCATTAATGCTGCGAATCCCATCTTAATTTGCCCCCTCGAGTCATAATAAAGCACGCAGGCAAGAGCAACACTTCAACCAAATTTCACCTCCGGCGTGGTGGACGGCTCCAGAGCCTCCAAGCTAGCTTTGAAACGGGTTTTCAGTCGTGCTGTTTCTGCTTCAATCTCGCTCTGCACTGGCTTCCATCGTCATTTAGCAGCTCCGACTTCTTGCCATTGCACAGCTGACATAGTGCAGAGTCAGGAATGCTTCTGATCTTCCCTGGTGTGCATGGCCATTGTCTTTCGTGGACTCCCCAACATCGCAGGGCTCCCGCCCGCGCGGCTCCGTGTGCCGTCGTGGCGCTGGAGGCTCATCGTCAAGATACCTCTGGGGTCAGCAGAGTGCACAGTGCGCCCTCTTCGTCTTTTCTCCCGCCCGCCGCAGCCTGGCCTGGCGGCCTTGAGCTTGGCCAGGAGCGCTGCGCCCGCGCCACTGGCCGTCGGAGCCTGCACGGACACGGCAACCCGTGACCCAACCTTTGCAGAGTCTCTACCAACTTACGTCTTGGCCTCCAACTTGCGCTGTGGCGTAACCGGCGCCGACATGGGCCGCCTCCTAGTGCGGAGGCTGAAGGATCACAGCCCTGGCCCCGTAACCCCGCCAACTTACCGACCTCGGCGTGTCATTGCCCGAGCCGAAAGAGTCTCGGCTAGTTACCGCCTTGCCCGGAGCTTTGCAAGGAAAGCACGGATCACGGAAATCGGAGTTTCCTCAGCTCTGGCCTCGAACTGCGACCTGCGCTGCTCCAGGAGCTCGGCGTCACGCTGCCGTAGCCAGGCGACCTCTGAGCTGCGGAGCCGAGGCTTCGCTGGGGACCGAAGGTCGCTGAAAGCTGAGTCTCTCACCTGGCGGTCGTAGACAGTCCTCGATAAAACGCCACCAACCTGTCCCAGACTTTTTCGGGAGTTCTCCTGACCTGGGTGAGAGCCGAGATGTGTGTGTGTGTGTGTCCGTATCTTTTTGTGTGGGCCTGATGTTGAAAGCCATGGTATCCTCTGAGGTGCTCCTCTCCACTGCTTGTCTCACAATTGCAAGATAAGACATGCCGTGAGAATATCTCAGAGCCAAAGGTGCGAGCTTCCTCCAAGACATGTTTAAGGATTCCTGAATACAGCTACAAGCCCCCGTCGGTAGCCTTGCCTTGAGAGAGCCTGTCTCGCCTCTCGGGGGACGTTCGCTCTTCCGGGCCTGGCAAGATTGGGAGAGAATGCAGGGGGCAAGGTCGGAGATTACGCGCTCACCGAGGACCGCTTGCAGTCAGCGCACACGGGGGGCGAAAGGTTTGCTGTGGTCCAAAGCTCTCCTCAAAGCTTAGGCACCGTGTCAGATTCGGAGAAGCTTTCTACGGATTTCCTGGAAAAGCCACCCAGCACGCCTTGTGAAAGGAACAAGTGCCTTGCATTGCTTCAACACTCAAACATGCAAGTGCGACTTCTGCCTCTTCCTTCAAGGTGCGGAAGACGTGCTCCTGAAAGTGCCGAACTTTGGCGTGAACTTGTAAAGACATGCACTGGCCTTGCGAAGCTCGTCTTGCTCCTCTTGCTTTGCCTGGAGCAGCACGGTGGATTCAAACGTTGTCTCCCAAGATAGAATGCAACTTCAAAACATATAACCAATCGCAACTCTATTCATCTTTCGTGGCCTTCTTGCATGGGCTTGAAGGTGGAACTACAATCTGATGGAATCGGGCCTCTTGTTCTTGTTTGCTGCCAGAGTCTTTGCCCGCAGCGATCGTAGGTGCGTAAAACCACTGTTAGTCAGCTACAAACCCTACCAAGACCAATTGAGACAAAGTGACCTCTGCAACAGGATGCAGCATCTGCCCCCCTAGCCTGCCCTTTCCCTGCAAGATGTCCACACTCTGGGCCGCCTCGAACCACGCCTGCTGCTTCTGGTAGAACTCTTTCGCCCGCTCCGGAGTGACCTGACCTGTAGCTGTTTTTCCAACGTATCACGTGTGTTTACTTTGCCAACCTGGTCCCGACGCTGCCAGCAATTCTTCAATACTGGCGATGATTGAAGCCGGAATCGCTCACGACACTCTTTTCTGATCATAGAATCTCTGCTTGAACGGAGGATCCCTGGACCGCCGCCTTCAGGGTTTGGCCGCTCATCCCAAGCCAATGAAGCCACCACGGCTCGCAGGGGCTTCCTGCAGCGGCAATGGGGTTCAAGGCCTCCTCCGAAATCTAAAGTTCAACATAAGCTCGCCTCTTTGGCGATGGGGATGCTGTGGCGGAGCTTGGCCTCTGCCCGAAGGCTCCAGGCGCGAAAGCTGGGGTCGGGCTGCAAAAGGCAATTATGGGATTTTCTGGTGCTGGCACTTCCCTGACAGTGAAGTTTCGATGAAGCTCTAGGCAGTGGCAGATCCTGCCAACATTTTGGAAATGCATGTCCACTTGAGGACGCAGTTGCGACCAAGAGTTGCGGGTGCGCTGCATGCAATGCAAAACAGCATGCCAGGAAAAACGAAACCCAAAAGCCATGAGCATGGCAACAGATTTCGAGAAAGCTTGCGCAGGTCACAGGAGTGTTGGGAGGCTAACTCCGAAGTGGGAAGGACCCCTGCCCCGCCACACCTCGAATCCGGAGACCAGGTGCTCAGCTTTGGCGTGAAAGGACACTGCAAGAGTTCGGACTCGAGCTGAGCCTGGGCATTTCTGACTTGCTCGACTTGCCGTCTCTGTGGCACATCCTCGCAAGGCCTCCTCGTGCCGCCTCTTCTCCAAAGCACGCCTCGCATTCACGAAGCACTCTCTTTGCCGGAACCGGCTTCATGGAACTTCTCCACCGCATGTCTGGTCTCACAAGATTTACAGAATGCATGCCAAGCATATCTCCACCATCGGAGGCCTGGCGATCGACCGCATCCCACGCTCGAACAAACCTGGAGGAGACACAAGGCAGAAAAGGCAATTGGAACTATTTTCGGTTTGGGACTTAGGATCTAGGCCCTGCTGTGATGCAGCAGGTAACCCTATAAAGTGGACTAAGTGGACTCTGTTGATTCAATCCAAAGCGACCCCTTCAAAACAGGTCGACTAACTACATGGTTACCTACATGACTTGCAAGGCAACTTGAAGGCTCAGGCATGGGACCAGCTTAAGCCCAGAAGTCTTCATGGCAGTTCGGGCCTCCGCCACCCTCTGGCCCAGCCAGCCACCGAGGAGAGCGTACAGGCCGGTACAGGTTTGGGGTGAAGGAGCCTCTCGAACACATCGAAGTTCATCGAAGCATGAGCTATGATGAGCCCAGCCCCCCCCGTGCGAGTGTGCGAGAAGGCTCGGCATGTCTAGGCCCGCGCTAACGTTGGGTATGTCTGCACAAGCAAGTCAAGGTAGCCGAGGGTTCAGGCCTATTTCGGCTTGGCACTTCTCCCTCATAGCTTGTAGCTTCTCCTCGCCTTGCAGCAGCTTGTATCGCGCGAAGTGCAATCAACTCTTACGAAGCCGCTACCCACCCGGCCCCGGAATCTCCCCTTTCGAAAGCCACACTACTGGTAGTATCTCTACAGCGGTGTTGGATTTCTGATTTTGCTGGAGAACTCTCGTTTGCAGGCAAAAGTCGTTGCTTCTGCCATGCTTCGGAGCGCTCCAGCATCGAGGGCGGTCTCCCGTGCAGGCCTGTATGGATTCTGCACCGGGCTAGGCCAAGAAGTACTTCTCGAACGACGTGTAGCTCACAGTGTCAGCTGAAGCAGGGCTAACTGCTGCAACGAAACTTGTGCAGGGGTTGCAAAGCTGTTTTGCTCACGCTGCTCATCTGCTACTCGTTCTGTCTGGCACCCCGTGCCTAAAACAGTCACTGCACGAGGAGAGCTTCGTCGAGAGAGCACGGGCGAGCGGATAGGTGAGCGGGTCGGCGACCGCGTTCTGGCAGTCCTTGTTTCCACATATGAAGCTGTGCAACTGATGAAAGAGGAGAGGGGTTCAGGGAGTGAGCTTGGGCTGGTACCCATCGGTAAAAGCAGCCTTGAGGACAATCTCCACACAAGCATGCAAATGAGGTAACACAGTCAGCTGGCAAACTCTGAGCAAGGCCGTCATTGGGTTCTGTCAAGTCTGTCAACGCAGTGTTCAGTCTGTCGACCTCTGCTGATGCGCTCAACCTTTCTTGATGTCAAGTCTCTCCGTCTGCTGGGCTGCTTTGCTGTCGACCGTCGCTGCAGCAATGCGCATGTGGCGATGGTCCCGGCTCGAGCGCTGCGGAGCCTCGCGGCAGTGGCCGTCGGGCCGTTGGAGACATGCACTAAACCGAAGAAGCGCTTCAACAGCGTGTTCAGGCAGGAGTGAGACACACCGGGGACTCTGGGCCGGCCTCTTCCTCCCTTGCACCGGGAGTCTGTGGAGCCTGGCGATGGGACAGCGCCTAAGACACTCTCTTCCTAATCCTGCAGATGTAGAGAGCATCTGCATTCCCGACCTGGGGGGCTTTGCTCCGCCGTCGCCCAGTAGGAGGCCGTCGCAGCGGCGACGGTGGACGGGGCTCCGGTGTCGGCCTTCACCAGCGACAACCCAGCCGCACCAACAACAGCGAGGACGACTGCTACCGCTATACCTGTGGCTACTGCCACTGCCACTGCTCCTGCTGCTGCTCTACGACGACGACCACCACCAGCACCGCGAGCACCACCACGACCAGACGACGACGAGTGCGAGTACGAGTGCTAGCAGACAGCAACCTTGCAGTTCATCGCCAAGGTGCGGCTTGGCCGGACTCGGCACCAAGGGTGCGAAAGAGGAGGCCCTGGCCCAGCTTCGGTCTTCGATTGAAAGTTCGAGGTCGATAGGGTCTGCTGGAATAACTCGGAATTCCCCTTGACAAATGGGCAGGCCTCGTGCGGCTATGCCTTCTGGGTGTCTTTCGCGGCGTTGACACCTAGAAGGCTCAACGACTGAATGCGCCCCCCCCCACTACTACAACAGATGTTGCCATGATCCCAGGGTAGCATAAGGATATGTACTGCACACTGGTTGTAGTGGCATAGGTGGATGTACAGCTGTCATGCGCTGTCAAGAACCTAGCTACTGGCTTCCCCTGCATCCATGGCCAGAAAATCCTTCGCGGAGTGCTGGCCAAGAAGTTGCCGCTGCTCCCTCCTTCTTTTTGCCCTGCAGCCTTGCTAGCTGATTCTGCGATGCGTCTTTGTTAGGTCGCAGGAAAGCCAATGCCCAAGCCACCGTAACCCCAAGCTATCGATTGAAGCGAAGGCCTCGGTCTGGAGCTTGAGCTCGGAGTTTCGGAGGCCGAGCTCCACCGTAAAGACAGGCACATCCCCTAGGCTTCTGGTTCCCTCCGGCTAACCCACTCGCTTCAGCTTTAGGTGATGCACTTGTAACGTGGCTGGCTTGAGCTCGCAGTAGCTGTGACAGAGCCTATCCACATTTATCCACCTGCTTGCTTCGGCACCAATGTCGAATTCAGCCGTGGGGCGTCCATCACTTCGTGGCATCGCTCTTTCTCATGGCTACGCTGTCAGCCGGAATTTGACGGAGGAGTGAGTTGTCGCTGGCTTCTTCTACACTATCATGTGAGGCGCGAAATAAGAATGCTAGACTTGGATGGTGCCCAGTATGCAGCGCAAGCTCTCAGCCCTTTTCACTGCCTTGCTCGAAAGAGGACGGATGCTTGCAGAATCTTCCATTGTGGCAAATGGCTCACGTGCTGCAACTACTTTCCTGCAGGACACTCAGGACACACATGACACCATGTCAGATTGCGCGGTCCGCCGCTTATGTAGATGAGGTGAAACAAACCGTCTCCCCCCAGGCATGTTTCGGGAAGTGGGTTTCATAATCAGGACGCTTCAGTGTGCTGTACTTGCCCAGGTCCCATCCTGCCCAGGAGCAACTCCCAGCTTCACGCTGCTTTGGCGTCCGCGGGCGTGTCGCCTCCCGGCAACAATGGCAGGAATCGGGATTGAAACGATCGGGGCTTTTGCTTCGCATGACAGTATGTGGCTGTTTGATTTCAGTTCCTGAAACTCCAGGCTGTAGAAGCTGAAGCTCCACAGACTTTCTCGAATCTACACAAGGCACCACGATTCAACTATTTCACAAGACAGATGGGAGCCTTGACAGGAAACAGAAACTCGGGTCGCCCCAGCGTCAAGCGCCGAAAACGCTAGTGCATCGTAATGTTGCAAAGACTCCACTCCTGCTGTTCATGAGGTATTTCTGGGGGTCCCTCCCCTCCCACGAGCAAAAGATCCCAGTGCTAGTCAAACACACAAGGCCAAGAGAGTGTGGGGGAAAGAACCTTGTCCTGCCAGGCATCGTTGCTGAAGAGTTGTTCCTCGCACCCCGCCTTTGGGCGCATTCGCGGCTCCCTGTTTCAGCGCTTGTGTCAGCTTCCGCTTCTTTGAGGCGCCTCAGAACTCGAGTCGGATGCTCGCAGCAGGGTCGCGAGAACGAGCAGGTTCTTCCTGCGGACATGTTGACGCTCGGTTCCCTGCCGTGATGGATGGTATGGATCTGATTGAAGTCCTGCTTGCCTGAGCAGGGGACTAACGTAATGGGCACGGTGGATTTTTGCCTGTCCACGTGCTGGAGAGACCTGGCCTAAGTGGAACTTGCCTATCCTCTTGCCCATTTCGGTCGTCTTCACATTCTTGACCTCTCGTCGCTGAGATCAAAGCACGCAAGACGGTGAAGGTAAATGCAAGTTGCCGTGATGCCCGTGCTTCAAAGCAAGAGGAAAGCTTGCCCTGCGAATTTTCCGGCATCTTGCAGCCTGTATCTGTTCAAGCATGGCCTTCTTGGGCTTTGCGGCTTTGGGGACCTTGATGGCCTGCTTCCACCGATCTTTGTCCGGCTCCCTGGCACACGAGACAGAATGCACCACGTGGCGCACAGCCATTGCATCGAATCCGTGCCACCGAAGCCTCGTTCGGTCGAGGGTGAGCTGGAAGGAAGGGCCGAGCTCCTTCATCTCAATTCGAGGCAGCCTGAAAGCAGGATGAACTTCCATGACCTCGGGCTGCTGCGTGACCCTTCAAGCTGGGGTCTCGGAGTGTTGATGGACCGCGAGCGCCTGCCACCAGACTTCTGCATGAGGAGCCTGTATCTTCTGAACAAGACCTGCGCACATGAGCATGCTGGCACAGGCACCCGTCGCACTTAGCACGATGCTCGGCACTAATTACTGTATGCTTCTGCGGCATGTCAGCTTCGTGCATATCGAACTGATGGCGCCACTTGACACAAGTGCCGAGCCTTGGCCTTGTTGCTAGGCTGGCCTGGCAGGCGGCCGTCAAGAACACTCCATGCGAAAGACTGTCTCCATGCGATTCCATGCGAGCATGCTGCAGACGGGACGGAACAGCAGCTCGCTTCGTCCGTGGATCCGCGCTCCGCAGTATCGCTTGCGACTGCCATGTTTTGACCAGAGCAGTCATGCCCACATCGTGAACATGTCCGTGTCATGGCAATAACCATTGTCAACGATGCCGTTGCAAAGCAGTGTCGCTTCGGCTTATTTTCAGGACAGGCTTTTGCTAAGCAAGCATTGCATGCAGAATACGTTTCTACCGACCACACTACTCGGACAACAGCATTCGTTGATGGTGAATTTTAAGATCCCGCTGAACCACAACGTGGCCCTGGAATCCTGCAGACATGTACAGTGCGACACAACCACTGGGTGACTGGGTGTCGCGCACTATGAGCCTGTGTGGAGGCTCAACAAGCAAACAGGACCGGTTGTTGGTAGGTTCGCAGAGTCAATTTTCTTTCTACTTTGGTGCTTTCTGATGCCACCCCCCTTCCCCACGCCGAGTGTGGCATCGTTGCTCTCAGCTCAGACCAGTCTGCGTGGGCGTCACTGCCTGCCATTGCACATTCGTGTGCCGGCTTCGGGAGATTTCAAGCTTCAGGGTCCAATGTGCAGGGGCTCATGCATACTTCATAAGACCGCAGTTCTCGAAGCTGATAGAGTAAACTTCCGCATGTGGCTCGTCGCCTGCGGCTGCTCACTGGGCACAGCTGTGTAGTCGCCCTGGTTGCTCGAGCGAGGCTTCGCCTGAGGTTTGGGGCTTGTGTTGTGCAATGTTGATGTGGTGGGCATCTTCGGATGGTCGGCCACGGAAAATTCCGAACACGACTCTCTTTCGATCCAAGTGCAAAGGAACTCGTAACGACTTCCTGTTCCTTCAGCTTCGGGACTCGTGGCCCACCCTCTGCTCAAGCAAACGCAACGTCTGCAGGGCAACCCGAGTTCCAAAACAACTCCAGCCACAGTGCTTCTGCTCCGGGGAAGTGCTGGCGGACGAGTTTCGCAGGTATTGCCACAGAAATTGAAGAACAGGCAGCGAAGAAGGCTTGAAGCGAGGCGCTTTGCGTGGCTGCTCGTTGTCCAAAGCGTCTTGGAGCTCCTCGGCTAACAGCAATTGAAACGAAAAGTCTCGCTCACACCCACTCTACAAGCAAAGTGGATGGCAATGCAATCTGCAGGCGAATGGCTCTTATCAAGTTCTTGAACATAGTGATGTCGTCAAGATGATCGCCCCAAGCATTGTTGTAGAACTCGGCCACGATTCCTTCTGGCAGCCGGCTTCAGGCATTGGGAGTTACAAATAGTGGCAATACCAGCGATCCTCGGGGGCATCCCAGTGTGCGAAAGCCTGCACTAGCCTTTTGCGCTGGGAGCTGCGCTGGATGTCAAGTACGCTCGCGATGGGCCTTCCTATTCCAGCGCTGCAGCGTATCGCACCCAAACACAACCTTCCACTGTGCCGCAAAATCTCAAGCTTCGGGACAGGGTAACTGCTGCTGAGCAACGCTTCTGAGTGGAGAGACTTCGCTCCACGACCTGTGGGTTCTGGATGGGTCAAAGCACACACACAGACACACGCACGCACAAACAGGTCCAAGCAATTGCCACTTGTCTCCCACATGTCTGTCTGCGGTCTGCATCAAATTGCACCAAGCAGAAGAAGCTACGTAGGCTTTGCGACTATTGAAAACTTTCTGTGTTCGATGGCCTCAATACAACGCACTCCGTTTTCACGTGCATGTGTGTGTGTGTGTGCGCGCTTCAAAACAGACGAGATTGCGTCTGCGTTCAACAATCGAATTCATTTAATCCACTTGAAGAGGTGAGGCCACAAAGTGCCCCACCTGAAGCATCGATATGTCCGAGTCTTCGTCGGCCAAATCGTTCGCCTGCAGGTCTGTCCAATCTGGGTTGGGCCAGGCTTTTGGAGGCTGGAGTTCAGGAAAACACAACCACAAGAGTGGACCCTTCCCTGCTTCCAGACTGTAAGATACCCTAAACCCTATGTAGCCATCAGCAACGGCACTAAATTGCAAGCCGCCGCTAAAAAGTTGAAAGCAAGCGACATAATTGCTTGAAAATGACATTCACATCCATGCACTTGAGCCAATTTGGACACCGGCTGAAAGACGTGCTATTCCCATCAGTTGACCCATTTTTCTTCTGAGCTGGGCAATCTTGCACGTAGATGGCTTAAGCCCGGCCGGATCTCCCTGCAGAAATCTTGGACTCTTATATTGGACTCTTGGTCCCAAAGGTTAATGGTCCGGCTTCTGCAACCTGCTCGCACAAAATCAATAAACATTCTTGTTATCGTTTTTCGCCTTTGTACACTTCTATGTACACAGTCTCTGAAAATGAATCTGTCGTCGTTTGTTTCTCTCTTTGTCGACAGACACTCACCCGCATCACCCAAAACCCTACTCTAATCACTAAAGCCCCTATACTACCTGCCGCCGCGGTCTGGTGAAGTTTTCACAAGGGAACACAAATTCAGCGAATGAACCAGCTTCGGGCCGACGCGCCTTGAGCCAACCTGGCTTGAGCCACAATGGCTACGCCGCCTATGGACACCCCGAACACCCTAAATCCATCTGAATCCCTTATTTTCAGAGCCCTGAAAGGATGCCAGTTCTAATTCTCTCTTGTTTGCTTGCTTGCTTGCTTGCTGGGCGCTTGGAGGACGGGGAAGCGCGCTCCCCACCCCCCTGCGCGTCAGCGCTCTGCTGGTGCTTGCTTGCTTGCTTGCTGGGGGTTTGAGGTCAGCGACCCCCGGCCCGTGGACCAACCCCACAACGGCGTGCGACTGTGTACGTCTTCGAGGCCCCTATTCGGGGACTTGCAGTAGTGTTCCCTCCAGGTGAGCATACGTCAAAACACCCCCGAAAACACCCCGCTGGTGCTCTCTATCTCGCTCTCTCTTTGATTGCTCGCCGCATGTTTGAGACCCGGGCATTCAAAGTGTCGATCTGATGCTTGAAGTCAGAGAGTTCATGGAGCTCCTCGCCTAAGGCACAAAGCAAAAGGGCTGAAATATATGGGCCTTCACAATCAGAATAGGGTTTTTGTGGGTTTATAGGGCTTCATACAAAGGCCTCAATCATTCAGGCCCGGTATAGGGCTTTGAGGCCCAAGAATCTCAAGTTCAGCAGTGCGGCCAGGCAGCTGACTTGCAGCACAGCATCCAGTCTGTCAATATTCCAAAGAACTACCACGAGCGAAGCTGCGTAGCAAATCATCCTTGGCGGACAACACGAGAGTTTCAGATCATGGGGGACCATGGCCCTTAATAGAGAACCCTACACAAGCGGATCCTCAATATGAGGACCCTTAAACCAAGTATGCAAATCTAACTGAAAAACCACGCTCGTCGTATCCAGACACGAGCGCGAAGCTGTCTTACCAGCCCTTCGCTGAATGGCCAAATCACAGTCACAAGTTGTGGCTGTGGCTGTTGCTATGATTTAAGAGCATCAGCGCTCAGAGGGCCCATGATCTCTGGACTCTGGACATCTCTGGACATCTCTGGTCCCGGTCAGGCCGAGGCTCCCGAGCATTACCGCGACCACTCTCACCAGCCTCGGTAAAGTGCGCCGGTTTCTTGTCGTTCTCTGCATCTGTCTAGCGTTTCTTGTGCCAAGCTTCTCCATCCCACAAGATAGCATATTCATTGCGGCACAGTGCTGGCCATTTCCTGGTCGTGACAAGAGTTCTGCTCGAGTCCAGCCGAAGGTACTGTTTTGACTTCGGAGTGTTGTCGACGACTTCAAGCCAAGCTGCGCATGAGATGGAGCACTATGCCTGGCATGGTCTCTTCCATGGCAACGACATCTATGCAACGAGAGCAAACGTGGCTTGCCCAAACGAGCTAGAAGTGGGCGAGAACATGTCTTGTGTCGTCACATGCCCTCTTGCAGGCTTCCAGCCCTCCCGCGCCAACCTGCCAAGTGAAAGTGGAAGATGAAAAGGAGTACCTGAGACCGCACGAACATTGATCAATTTCTTGGCCAGTGAAACAGCTGGCCAACCGCAGTTGTACCCCTGTCTTGTTAGCTGAAGCTGCTTGCTCGTCAACTTGCGAGGCATATCCCGCCCCTTCGCTCGCCGAGTTACACTGAAGAAGATGCCGACGAGGAGGCTCCTGTACAATGGTGAGTCCCTCCTTAGCAGCATCCGGCAGAGCATGATCGTCCCAAATCCAGGATTTGGGACAGAGAATCCATGCAGTTGGATCAGTCATGCTGGCAGCTGCAGTCTGCCGAAAGTCTTATCACCCCAGGATGCAGGAATCTCAGTGGCAATGAATGGCGGAACCAGTAAAATGCTGGCAGCTGCAGTCTGCCGAAAGTCTTATCACCCCAGAATGCAGGAATCTCAGTGGCAATGAATGGCGGAACCAGTAACCCAACATTGCCGGCAGGAAGCAGGTGCACGTACACCTCGTCAAACAGCGTCGATCTTAAACAGTGACTCATCAGGAAAAGTCCAACTATTCGCAGCTCTCACAGACCGAGCACCCTTTGAATCATTCGTGCGAAACCTGTTGCTTGTCTTCTCATGGCTTCCAATCCTGCTCATGGCTAGGCCGCGAACCATTACCATTGATGGTTTTGGAGTTTCCAACCCGACATCCCAAATCGTGCTCTCGCCGCGGTGCGGTGCCCCGTCACTTGCTTTGGCACGTTCTTGGAAGGCTTGCCCTTCTTAGCCTCATCTCGATTTCGCTACGGTGCCGTGCGCAGTTTAGGCGTAACTCCCGCTCCCGCCGCGATTTTTTCACTTGTCTTCGTCTTGCTGCAGTCTTGGCAGTGGTCCGGCATCGGTCCATATAACATGTTTGATGCGGCTCTCTATGTTCAGCGATTTTTCATGGTTTGTCGCAGACATGTAGATGCCGACGAAATTGTACATTACTTCACATTACGCATCGAATCATTACGCAGTGTCAGAAAGGGCTACTTAAGCAGCCGCGGAGCTCCCTTGACTCGGCCGATGGGGGAGGCCGGGTTGACTCCGCCAGGAGGCACACCACGCAGCAACTGCCAGCGAACGAACGGCAGCTGCAACTTTGTGCCACCGACGGAAGTTAGTACATGCACAGCAGACACCTCGTGTTCTCCATGGGAGGAGATTAGCTGCGTCCTCTCCTTTTTTGGGAAAGTAGCAAGTTGGGTGAGCCCGGGCCTCTGCGCGCGGATCTCGTCTGCTCTGGAGAGGCTCCTTGGATTCTGCCAAAGAGGCTACTGAGTAGAACGCCGCTAGAAAGAGAGCACTTGGGACTCTCAAGAGTGCAAAGCCTTGCAGTCAGGCTGCGATCTTCTCAAACCACTTGAGGACCAACTGCACGGGTTTTAGAACGACTGCCTGCAAGGCTGCTCTTGCCATGGGGGGGAGAAATGGAGCCTCTGAAGCTGAAACCCTCGGCCTCCGGATTGTTTTTGTACTCGTCCATCGTCGGCTCACGCAGCTCAGTGACGAGATCATCGTAGGAGGGCACCGAAAAATTCCGGTCCAGGCCTTGGCCCGAGGGTCTCAAAGATCGCTGAAAGCTGCAGACGGCAAAAGACGAAGGATTGCACACAGCAAAGACTCCCGTGGAATCGCTTAGAAGCCGGCTCGTCGTACGAGTGACTTCGGAGTTGGACTTGCGGCTCTTCCGCTCGTAGCAGCAAGTGCAGCAACGCTGTGCGCCCTTCGAAGCCAGCGGCTTTCGGAAAGGGCTCTTCTGATTCTTGCAACGTGCTGGGCTAAGTGTTGAAGCTCTGATGCAGTCGCCTTGCTTAATTGATCAGCTTCCAAAATGCCATATGCGTGCCCTGAAAAGGGGACCTGAACCAGCTGCACACCCGAGAGGAGGAGTGCCATCTCCGGGTCGTCGTGATCGTGCGCAGTTTCAGTTCGAGGCAAGTCCATCCTGTCGACCAAAATCTGTTGTGGGCTGGAACTCAGCCGGAGCTACCTGCTACTCCAGACTAGACCAAACCAGAAAAAACTGGACCGTCAAAGAAGCCCTCAAGCAGCTTCTTGTTCGCGGACCCATCCTGCCGCCCCGCCGGCTATGTACCGTCAGGAGCTGAACCATGCCTCGGCTGGCTTTCTTGTAAGATCGGCAATGACAGCGCTACCAGCATGCCGCTCAGTATACTAGCTCACGTAGCGTGCACGAACTTGCAGTAGCCACAGCAGTAGCTTGTCGCAAAGCTCGGAATGTCCATTGCGACCAGCCCAAGGAGCTCGTGTGCTTTTGCTGTCTCAAGGTCTCTTCCAGGAAGAGCGCCTGCGGGAATCAGTTGCCTGCAACTCCGAACCCTCAAGTTGCAAAAGTACTTAGGCCTTCCCGGAGAGAGAGATAAGCTTTTGGAAGTGGTCGATGGCAGGCTTCCGCAGATGATGCAAATGTATGGCCTCGCACTGCTGAGTACCGCATGCTTTTCGCTGCAATACTGAACTGCAGGAGCAAATTCCAAACTTCCATGCAGGCTGCCATGAGTTCCACCAGCTTGGAGTATACAGCCTGGGCCTGCATCAAGGACACTCACCAGAATCTAACGAGGGTAACTGTATAAAGTCAAGTGTACATAGGCATGGGACAGCGAAGAATCATCGCACCTCTGGGCTGGAGGACTTCTCACACTGTGCCAGAATCCGCTGCATTCGTCGCACGTGCTCACCCACCTTGCAGGCACGTTCGTGGCAAATTGACGGGATAATTCTTGGGAAGATGGGTTTGGAGCTGTCTCTGGATAGCCAGTGTTGCCTTCTCGTCGAGTTGAGCCGACACCATGCCACACAACTTCTGCGCCTGCCAGTGCAAGCTGTAGTCCCGCATGGTTGAGCTGCCTTTCGCGCTTCGCTGATGATCACGCCGCATCATGCCCATCCTGGTTCGTCGCTCGAGACAGCACGTCTCCAACTTGCTTAGTCATCTCGTCCAAGTACCGCTCCTGCATGCAGGAATAAGCAACAGCAAACCTGCTTTGGATGCCAATTACCTCCGAAATGCGCGACGCACCCTGCCTTGCGGCGCTGCAGTCGATCGCCATCCTCGTCATAGTAGGCCAGAGCCACTGCCGAGTGGCGGAACATCATCAGCCTTCCGCTTGGAACGTGACCAAGACTACAATGGAAGGTAGAGTGCATCTCCACGCCTCGTATCGAATATGAACATAAGGTTATCACACCAAAGCAGAATATCAGGCTTTGGATGTCGGGCGAAGAGTAGGAAACCCAGCAGACTTTCCCGGGCTTTCCACCTGAATTCCATAAACTTCATCAACAAAGTGGACAGAAATGTTCGATCTTTTGGGTGGCTTCGGAGCTTGATATTACGGACAATCCCCACTGCTACTGCTGCTGCTGCTGCTGCTCTGGAAGCATGCAAGAAGAAGAAGAACTAGTAGTGGGGGAACAGGAGAGATATGCCCGATGACTACTTTCTCGCGTGCTTCCTGGGATTCTGGGTGCTCATCTTTGAATGTGATGGACAGGTGCTCCCTAGGACGAGGTTTCCTCGGCATGCATTGCACCTCTGGGCTGGCCCGGCCTTCCTTCACCTGTTTATAGGTGTGCTGCAAGCGGCTTCTTGGGGGGTTTTCGCATGTGAGCACTTTTGTGGTCGGTTCAGCGTGTGACCGGAAGCCCAGAATTACCTTTGCAATCATACGCACAAACACATTGTTGGCAAAAAGGTCAGCCGCACATAGACTATCAAGCCAAGTAACAGCATGATGCCTCCAATTCCCTTGACCTCAGAAGCATGCAAAGATGAACATGCATCAAGCCGCACTCCGAACACAATGAAATCTAAGCTCATAGTCGTAGGCTTCGTCCAAGCGGCAAGGCAGGAATACTTTCCCACGCCCTCCTCCGTCCAGGGCGTGTGCCTGAACGAACCCACCAAGGTCACCGAAGTATTTGACACATGTGGCAGCTCAGAGGAGTGTGTGGTGAGTTGCTGATTCCAAGTGGCTGAACGCAACGCAACTGGACGAAGTCTAAGAGCCACGTGATTCCAAACCTGAGAGGGCAGCGGAAAACCCCGAGCCGGGGGTTCAAAAGCCGCACACCTGACCTGGTCCGCTCTGGTCACTGCGTACTTACCCTTACGGGCATTCGCATTCTCCAGACCGCTTGGAACGAAACGACGGCATGCGTGCCCGTGCTAGTGAGCTTCGAGGCGGCCGAGACACACTCCTGAAATCAAGCAGCCAGTGAAAAGCATTAGCCGCAGGCCCGTGATGTCCAAGAGGTGCTCCTCTCAAGATCTGCTTCATTATAGCTAGGATCGACAATGTTCTATACTTGACCAGTTCGCTGGAGGGCAAGGCAACCCTCAGCTGTCCATGTGCAGCGCTTCAAGCCATCTGAAGCCAGTGGGCCACACGGCTTCCAAAGGAAGGCGCATGGCGTTGTCAGGTGGGTGCCAAGTATCAATGCCGGAATCAGTGCACAGTAGTGCACATTTGATGATGTCTTCTATTGGGCCTGTATGGAACCTCCGCTCGCATGCCAAAGTCGCAATGTGCCAGAAGAACAACATGGTCGAATGTTCTACAGAAGTTGTCGCGCATATGTAGTCAAACCGTCAGACTTGCCGAAGCATCTGATCTTTTGCAGATACGACCGCCTGGAGCTGAATGCATCGTCGTAACCACTCGTGTCTTGGCGGTTGATTCTTGATTGCTGAGGGGTGGTGTGGCGATTGTTTGGTGTTAGTGGGCAGAGCCAAAAGCGCTGAAGCAGTAGAGTGCAGCAAACAGGCTGCGCTTTCGTGAAACGAATTCCATCAAACAGGCATTGGAGAACTATATTCCGACACGACTCTACCGGTGCAGCTTACGTGGCAGCTTGGTCACGACGCTAAGGAACTGCAGCAATGCTGAAATCCAGCTTCAAGTTTTACATCATCATTGATGGTCAAGCTCCTTCACAGGTAGCCAGTGCAAGTGCAACAAACCACGAGCCGTGGAAGCATGCGCATGTGCAACTTCGACAGCATCCTACGCTCTGTCAGAAATCTGCCCGGAGCTGCGTGTACGGGAACAGCAATTCCCCAACCAAAAACACCAGTTCACTAGTGGTCCGGAACTAACTTGGGAAGTACAACCTGGTCTTTTCAATACCAACACATGTTTTATCATTTGGAATCGACATGTCCGTGAGGCGGCTGGAATTTCAGGAATCGACCTGTCCGAAGCAGAACTTAACGTTATTGACTTTCACTACCTCTTCTCGGTTTCCAAGGCAGCAGCACATTCATCGCATCGGCGACGTGGCAACTCTAAAGTCTCTAAAGCCAGTATGTAAGTTTTTCATCCGCCGGTAATGGGCGCTACTGCAGGGTTTACAAAGCCACGAAGCCGTAAGGAGAGCTGGGAGCCCAGGAGCAACGAAGCCACGAAGCCAAAAGCGAAACCAAGAAGTTGCAGGAAGCCCAAAAGCCACGAAGCCACACGAAGAGAGCCGGGAGGCAAGCCCACAAGCCAGGAAACCATTTGGAGAAGCCCGCAAGCCAATGACGCCAAGCAGCAAAACGGTTTTGAAAACTGTTTTGAATCCCAACATGAGAAGCATGTAACTCCCAAAGTAAATCCAAGTAAGTAAGGTACAGGGAGGAAGACAGCATTAAATTAAACCGCTCGAATGGAGCAAGGCCAAGCGTTGGCGTCAGGAGTTGATGCGCCCTCAATCCGTGCAAAGCTGACCAGCCGGCGGGTCCAGGACGGTGAAGACCTTGGCTAGAGGCTGGTGGCCATAGTCAAAGTGTTCACGATCTAGTGTGGTATTGCAACAAAACGGAGTTTCTCCAACTTTTCTGGAATTTCCCTAGCATCCAAGGTTTTAGCAGGATCTCACCATCGTCAAATCATCCCGGGCGGATGCGCAAAGCCATGACGATTGCTTGCTGGTTACCTTTGTCGACTTCGGCAAGGCAACCTTTCAACGCTTTCCGTACAAGCACCCTCATGACGGTGCCAGGCCAAGCCAACACTTGTTTGTTTATGCTACTATGGCACAATGACAAGCTTGGAAGATGGCAATCGCACTCTCCATGCCCGGCAGCAAGACCTGCATCGGCCGACCCCCCCAGGTGGTTCCAGGCAAGGGGCTTTGCACAACGAGTTGGGAAACACGGGATCGCAACATGCTATCATGCTCCTCCCATGCGTCGCAGGCCTTGTCCGGCCGTCCGCCGCCGAAGTAGTCCAGGAGCAAGCTCTTGGCCTGCAAGCTTCTGCACGTTGCTTTCGTGTGCCTGCTTCCACAAATCGTGACCGGACCGGACCCTCTTGAGGTGCTCGTCATTCTCAAAGCCAGCGCCCTGGAATACCACGAGCCTGAAGCCAAGCGGGGCAAGAACGGTGCGTGCAAAGACTCGCAGTCAAAGCCGGGGCAGCAGCGGCTTCACACCGGTCATGGCCTGTGGAAACTCACACCACGCTGTGACGACACCCTCTTTGCGCGGACCGATGCTGGACTGAAGACTGCAAGTCGAGCCACGTCGGTGGCTCCGCTCCCGCGAAAAGTCCTGGGCTCCGCTCGGAGGCTAGTACGCTTACGGGAAAGTGATTTGTCACACGATTCTGCATCCAAAGGTTTGGAGCACACACGTGATTGAACTTTGCAGCTGCAAGGACAGCTCCCAGACATATCCAGACATTGTCTGGCTTCCACACCCCAAATCACAAGGGCTTCCAAGACCGGTGCGACATGGATTTGTAGTCCTCCACACCGAACTCCTGCAATGCTCAGGGGGCGGGCAAGGGGAAAGATGCCGGAAGGCAGGAAGATGCTGGCTGCTGGCTGGGTCCTGCATATCGAGCAGGTGGCCGTCGAAGAGCCTCCCAAGGATGAGCCGCGCAGGCCTCCGATCGCATCGAGACGGAAAGGGGCAGAAGATCTCTGTGTGGAGTTCCTTCGTGCCTCTTCTTGGAGGAGGATCCGAAGGCAAATAGCGAGTGGTCGAACTTCTTGCACAGTTGTTCGAGCTTGTGACTGTCCTGTCCGCGACATCTCTGCACAGACAATACACCAGACCTGGGACGGTAAGATCCAGCCCAATCCATGCGCATCTTTGCAGGAACCCAAGATGTATGGAGTCTGATTGTCACGTGAAACATTCCCCACAAGATGGTCCTCGAAAGGATGCTCTTCATGTTTCCGCATGTAGAGCCTGGATTCAAGCGGCAACGAGCATCGCAGGGAACATCACGAAAAGGAAACCCGACACGCTCTGTCACACTACAAGTACCAGCCAACAGTTCGCAAAGTATGAGGGTTTTCACGGAGGCAGAACAAATTGACGACTCCGTGACCATCCCTGTGAGTGTGGGACCAACAGCTGATAGAATCTCGTTGTCAAGCCAAAGGCATCAATTGGCCGCTTTCAGCATACAGACATGTCTTCATCGGGACTATTAGTCAACCCCTTGCTCATGTTTAGGTGGCATTGCGCAGTCCGGTATCACTGCACCAGCGTCCCTCCATAGCACGTGGCCGCCCTCCCCCTAAGGTTCACAAACCAGAGTAGGCAGAGGGTGCAAAAGGTTTCTGGAGCCTGACAGAAATTGCAGCGACACTTGCAACACGACAGGGTGCCAGGCATGGAGAGCGGTGACCGCAGAAGGTACAGCTCGCGAAGAAAGTTGGTCATGTCGTTTGAGGTCCTGTCGGCCCCAACAATCCAAATAGAAATCCCACAAAGGCTGCTGTAAATTTCGCTCAAGGGACAAGCCATCAGTGCGTTCCCGATAGCAGCGCACAAAAGTTCTCGGACGTTTCGAGCTGCTGCCCTTCATTTCCCGTCTGCCGGCAGGCCTACATTCAGGGTTACCTGGACAATGCTCCGGCTTGGCTCCAAGATGCTTCACTTCTGCGTCTGTTTGCTCCCTCTCTTATTGCAACGAAGCCGTCTTTGTGCCGCGGATGACCAAGGCTGTTTTGGCATCTTCCAAGACCTGCACAGGATTGCGAAGGCTTGAGAACTTCTGGAAACAGGAGCAGATCACAGCACTGCCAGGCATCCTACTTCTTGGGTCCTGGTATAGTATCCCGGAGCATCTCATTCAGAATTCATGTCAACGGTGATATTGTGCATGACTAGTCAGCATTGGACGGTATACTTGTCAACATGTCGACTTCTTCCACGGAGCGCAGCGCAGTGTTTCGCCGTGCGCTTGTTCTTCTGGCTCCTGTTCGTTCCCTCGTGTGCTTGTCATCTTGGACAAAGTGTCGTATCAATTCTACATGTCGCCACTTGGAAATACAGGGCCTATTAAAAACTGCCCGAGGCATGGTGCATTGTGGCGGTGTGCTCGTTTTGCAAGTCCCTGCTGCAGCATGCTGCAGCTATCTTTACCCGGGATTGACAGGAGATGAAACGCTAGAGAAACACTTGAGATATCTTGAGATGAAAGCTTTGGAACGCAAATGTCAAAAACCTGCATGCATAGCACGCGGCCTTGATCCTCTGCAAAGCTTGTATTCTCCGGGAGAAGGAACACAATCTAATCAGAGCACTGCGAGGCTTCCTACTGCTTATAGCCGAAAGCCTCCCTCGCCGAAGCCCACCCCGCCAGCGCCTTGGGCTCACGCTCCCTCAAGATCTTCTTGCCACGGTCTGCCAGGATGCGGCGGAGGATGCAGCGTCAAGTTCAAAATGTGAGCAATCGCTTGGGAAGTTAGTGACGGCTCTACTGTTTCTGTGTTTACCCTGTCTCAAATGATGAGCACAGCAGCCACACTGGCTTGGGGTTCCACACGATGCTCATGCGACTGCGCCGCTATCCCAGAGACAAACACTTGCGAATGAGGAGTCGGCGTGTCTTCGCCTTCCGCTTTGAAAGAACTTGCGTCAGCCTTAGTCTGCCCAACATGGATCCAAAGCCAAAGCCGCAGACTGTGGCTTGGACATGCCTCAACCAGCTGGCAACAGCTACTAGGAGCTACTCGTACCAGCTTCTACCTGCTGCCCCGCGACGCATCGGCTCCCATGAAGCTGGAAGGCGAAGTCGCGAGCAAAGCCCAGCTGCAGGATTCCAGGTCTTCTGGCTTTAGCTCCAAGGTGACGCTCCAGTCACTAGTCACTGGCACTCAACAGCAGCTAAACGAAGGTGACAACGACGCTGCGGAAGTTCTTCGTTTCAGCGCGAGTTGCTCCTCTGCTCGTTGTGACCCGTCCCGGCTCGACATGTATGCCCGCAGCTTTGAGAAAACGAGCGGCAAGCGTTTGACTATCGTGCCAGGCTTCCAACCCGAGTCAAGTCTAAAAGCTGAGAGGCGCAGCCGACCAAAGGTTTTTTCTTTCGAGCCGCTCGAGCCGCGCTTAGGAAGGCGACCTGAGAATGGGGCTCGGCATGGGGTCCGACTCTTCCGAGCTCGCTCATGGCTTCCAGATAAAGTCTTTTTTTTGGTAAGTTGCGAAGAACGGATAGAACATTACTGGTATAATCCAATATGTTACAGTATACTATAGTATACTGTAGTATACCTTGACATGATATTATAGTACATTATAGAGTGTAGTCTACCATAAAATAGCATAATCATAATCATAGAAGAACTCTTAGCCCCAGTACACTATAGAGTATAGCATACCACAACCACAGAAGAACTCTTCGCCTCTAGTACATTAGAGTATAGTCTACCATAGCATAGCATAATCATCCCTAAACCCTAAACCCTAATAATCACAGGAGAGCTCTTAGCCCAAGTTGGGTTCACAGAAAAAATCCGCCTGCGCCGCCTCCGCCTCGAGCGGCTGCGTCTCCGCGACCTCGACCTCCACGGGAGGCTGGGCTCTGGGTCGAAACGTCCTATACTAGTAAGTAAAAAAATATAGTACAGTATAATATACTATATATATTTTATACTGTACTATACTATACTATATATTATGCTTTACTACTATTATTATACAAGATTGTACTATATCATACTAGAATGTACTATATCATATTATGTTATATCAGTTCTTCTTTGAAGCACTTGGGATCCACTGCAGGGCCTTCACGTTCGGGTGTAGGCTTGAGCCGTCAAACGAGAAGCTGCAAGTATCTGCATAGCCACATCTAGTTGTGGCACAATGCAGATGTGGAGACTTCCCGAAAGCAGGGCTGGCAAACCCACAGGGCCTAAATAAGGGAGACCGCAGCTACGGTAAGTAGTAGACACTATCAAACTATTCTGATAGGAAACTACTATACAGTATACAGCTTCCGCCCGCCTGTCACGGCTTCGCCTGCCGCGGGACCTGATAAGACTTGCACTGAGCTCAACTTAACTTCTTGAATCTTCTCGCAGCCCCAGCGCCTGCTTCGACTTTTCTTTCGACTTTGAGCTGCCTGAAGGAACCGTGGTACCAGTCTCAAGCGCATGAACTCCACCATTTGTGACCTTTCTATTGCGCTGAGTCAGCAGCGAGAGGCCCGTCGCTGAAGCCCCGCGGCGCATCGCTAAAGCCTTTTGGAGGCGAGGTAGACCTGACAGCGAAGTGCTGCGAAATGCCTCGAGTCTGCATGTATCATCTTGCTCGTGTAAATGCCCGGAGCTCTGCTAAACGGTTGGCTAGTCTCTATGCAACGCACCTCTGCAAGGCACTCATGGCGAGCATCGCTGCTGCCCCCACCTGCTAAGAGCATGGATCCACGTGTTCAACTGAAAACATCCTTACGACAAGTGGGAGTTTGCTCAACCAAGCGGTTGGCCGTACATTTCTGCCTATGCAGAAACTTCACTGCACTGCAGAGGCCCCCCGACCTGTGGGAGCGGCTGCGGACCTGCAGATCGCAGGGCTCCCTCAAAACAAAGGAGGAATGCAGAAATCAGGAAATCATCTGTAAATCAATGATTGTCCTCTTCATGCATTTTGCTCTGAGGATGGAGCTGACTTGTGGCGGTTGAACTTGCCCTGTTTGACCCAGCTGCCTGAATTCACATGATGGCATATCGTGTTAAAACTTTAAGAACTTGGTTGGGGAAGCGCTTATTCAAGCTCGTCACCGTGCATGTGCATGCCTGCATGCTGGTGCTATGGGGAAGAGTTGAAACATCACGCTTTTCCTAGGCGACAAGCGAACGACTCCGAAAGCATCATGGTGCTCATCCATGGCTTCGCGGGTTCGAGACCGTCCGTGTCTCGAGCTCGGGTTTCGAAACTGCTCGTCGTATTCGTTAAGGCACCCGTGACGACCGACCTGTTTCGCTGTCGATGCTGCCTTCTCACGCAGCTTTTCACACGCAAACACAATGAAAGGGCAATGAAACTAAACTAACCTTTCCCGACCCACGGAAAGGATGCACATCGTTGCAGCGAGCCCGAAACTGCACAATACGCCAAATGCCAGATTCGCATAGGGGCGACCTGCTCCCTTTCCACAAGTTTGGCCGTCGACTGTAGCCGGGGTTCATGTCGCCAACAACTGCACTTTAGCAGTGCATGCAAACGTACCTACCGCTGAGTGTTGTCCCCTGAACTGTTTCTGAATATCTATTGCGATAAAGGTAAGGTTCCAACGGCGGCTGCGGGGGAAATGTGAAGCCCAGGCCAGACCTGCAAGAAGCGAAGCTCTGCTGTCCAGCAGACATGAGGTCCTGGTACCTGGTATAGGATCGGTATAGTATCCTGGAGCATCTCATTCCCATCGAGACCGCAGGTGGGGCCATCGAGTCCAGTTGCAGTCTAGGCTTGGCTCAAGATGTGGGGTTGGTGCCCTTAGGCCTCGTTGGCGGAGGCGCGGGAGCCTTAGCTTTTGCGGGCCGACCAAAAGCGCTGGTGACCTGGCACAAGGCTTCGTGCAGGAGAATGTCACGCTCCGGTCTTCTGAGGACTTTCGAAGAGCGAATGTTGTGACTGGCACTATCCACCCGGAACGAGGCAAGGATCATGAAAGTCAGAAGATAAACGATCCCCACTTCAAGGCCACGCTGCTTCGCATGGATCTTGTTTGTTTGCCGTGCCATGCTTCCCTTCTGTCGTGCCGCTTCAAGCGAGAAAGATCGGTCCGAATTGTGATAGTCTCGTGATGCACTGGATCCGAGCAGCGCACGCCGGGAGCGAAGAGGTCTTCATCAGAGGAGTCCTCGTCTTTCTTGGGCCCCTGCATCTGCATGTCTGCAGCTGCAGACTACGCCGCTACACGTGCAGGATTCCGCTCGTCTGCGGCGAGGCCTCGCTTCCTGCACCTTTTGGAGCTTCGGCCACCGCGGCGGCCACGAAACCACTCTTCATCATCATCCGGTTGGGACCTGTTCGAGATCTTGCATGCACTTTCCGGCTTCTTCATCACCATGCATCCTGCCTGCCCTCATTCCACCCGAGATCTTTTGACGGTTGAGCGCCTGGGATCGCTGACTCTCTGCAGGATCCAACCATTCTTCAATAATAATAATCACAATAATCATAATCATAATAGTAATAATCATAATAATAGTAGCCGTAGCCATTCTTCAGGAAGTTTGGGCTTCCTGGGAGCCTCACGGCCAACTGGTCTGCCTCCTTGTCCAGCCGCTTGGCAAGATCCTGGGAAGGGAGAAGCAGGATGGAAGCAGGGAATCCTTCAAACCTTTGCTGCTGAGCCTCCTGCTCTACAGGAGTCATTAAGGGCCAGGCTTACCCCAGAGACTCTGCAGCTGACAGTCAGGACCCAAACCCCTCCCGCTCCCCTCCTGGACCGTCTCCTTTTGCCGCGAGGCGCCGTCAAAGCCGAGGCCGAAGGCGCTCTTCTCCACCTAAAGGCGACCGAAGTGTTATCCAGATTTGCACGGCGACACAATCAATCGAGGCTTTCTGCCTTGCCAGCCCCCTTCTTCTTGCCAAGGAAGGTGCGCCCTTCAAGCTTGGCGGCCTCAGAAGTTCAAAGAGTTCAGGGAAGAGTCCCTCTGCTTTGAACATCTCCCAGGGTCGCGGCCCGGAAGGGCCCGTATTTCATGGCCAGCCCCTGTGAAGCGAACAGCTATGCGCAAAACTTTGGGCCACCGTTGCTGCCAGCTCCACAGATCTTTCAGCCTTCAGGTCCTCCGGAACGGCCTGGTTGGCCTGCTCCAGGTTCTCCACCTGCGAGAACACTGCGCACCGCTGCTGCTTTACCGCGCTCCTCATACTCGCTAGCCGCTTGCATGGCAGCTGAGGCCAGTGCTAGGAGAGCGGCCATCTTCTTGTTCTGATCATCGCCGGTCAGAAGTGTGTACGCCTGGACCATCCTACTCACTCTAGGGACTTGCTCTGTGAGATATCTGTTGGCAGTAGAAAGTGCTGTCTGTTTGCGCGCTTCCGCTCCACCAATGCCACCACAACGTTGTTTCGTCCAACTACTCAGACGCTCGTTTCTCTGTCTGTGCTGCCTCCCCTGCCGCGCCAGCGCGCCCGGTGCGGCCGATTCGATGGGTGTGCCTGGGCTTTGAAATCCAGTTGGAGGGCCTAGAAGTGCCGAGACGGACACTCCAACAACCTCTATAAAGGATACTGTTTCCCGGTGTTCTCTTCTTGCCGGCCCGCTTCTTTTCAAGGAAGCTCCTGCACCTTTATTGGACGAGCGCCACAACTCCCCGTCTTTACCTAGCAAGGGCTCGTGCCATCGCTAGATTACAAGGGATGGAATACCAGAGCTGTGCCACGGTTAAGCGTTGGGCGTTTCAATGTCCCTGGCGGCGTCGTAGGACACCACGGTGGCAATCGAGGGCAGATCTAGACCTTAGCTGCCCCATGTGCACGCGGGAACAGAGCACAGGGTGTTTGGGAAAAGGACGAAGCCACGTATGCTGCTTGCAAGACTGTCTTACAGGAAAGTGTGACGAACTTCTGCTCCCTCTTCTAACAAAAGACGTGAAAAACGTGAGGTGCCTCGTGCAGCAACGTCTGTGGCAATCAGCACATCCACCACTCCTTAGAGTAAAGTCTCAGGCTCCGAGAACAACATCGTCTCTGAGCCCCTCTGCGTAGGGGCCTCCATGATGGACCAGTAAAGACTAGTATAGGCCAGCCCTGGATTCTTGCCGGCAAAGTGGCGCTTCCTCACGTTGCGCAAGATCCGCATCCGCTCGCCTGGCCGAGGGATACAGACGGAAAAACAGTATCACAGTTCGTGTTGGTATTGCTATTAGGGAAATGATTAAGGATGATGATGATGATGATGGTGATGATGATAAGTCCCTAATTGTGGGGAATGGAAAGCTAACCTTTGGGAGCATATTGAGATTATACATGGATTATCGTACCCCAAAAAGGCTCAAGGTTACCTACTCGGGGAGAAGGGCTTCCACAGCAAACTTTGTTCAGGAACTGCAGCCTTGATCGAGGTCACCATGCAAGAATTCTGTTTTCTTCTCCAAGAAGTCCTGGAAGTTTTGGGAGAGCCTCGGTAAAGGCGAAAGGTGACTCCTTCGTAGCTTCTGAGCTGTGCTGACAATCATCCAAGCTAGTATCTTCAAGGCATCTTGAGTTGCTGGCTCCTCCGCACTTGCGATGGACTTCACGAAGACCAGCAACTGTACAATGTAATTTGTGACAACCCAACAGCAATCAAAGCGAGGAAACATCTTTCCAATGCAAGAGAACAAACGCAGCGCGAGCCAACGAGCAAAGATGCACTCGTGCTTTGCTGTGCTGCCTGGCCCTTCTGCAGCATACCATCGACCCGCTTCGAGAGCCATGCCTCTGAGACGAAAGCGGCTTCGAAGCGGCTGTGCTGAAACCAGTATGCCTCTCCTCTCAAAACATAGAGTCAAGTTCGTTGAATCCGTCCAAAACCCCTAAGCACCGGGCCCACTTCTCGTCGTCGTTCTTCAAAACTTCGACGAACTGCTGCACATTGGCAGCTGCCTGTCATCAAATCCGGTCACAGGCACACCACAGAAAGCAGCTGGGACCGGACAAGCGCGACGTATCGCATCAGGGGCATGTAAGCAGTAAGCAACAGCCATTAGCAGGAAACCCATTTGTGCGACAAAACGACTTCTCGTGATCAGTTAGTTGCTCGTGAATGAAGTCTCGCCACAACAGCCGCAGCTGCTATAGCTGCTAGCTATGCTGCCTGGCCAACCTCGCCGATCGTGATACGGACGGGCTGCTGCAGGATGTCGCCTGCACGTCGTCAGCCACATCAGAATGTAGATCCGAGCTCGTCGAAACCCCGTGACTCCTCCAGACACGAACAGCTGCAAAACCCGGAACCCCAGCCACTTTCAGGTGCTTTGGCGTGGAATGCGTGCGAACAGCCAAACGAGGACACCGCTGCAGTCATCCCATGCCGGGTAGACGGGCTAGCTTCTCGATCTTTGGCCTTGGGAGTTTTGAAGCTCGGGAGATCGGTGCCGACCCTCCGGGATCTCGTCTTCTGGATTGCACAGGAGTATCCAAGCAAAAGACAGGTTGTTCCTTGCTTGCTCAGAATCTACGGAGTATTGCATTGGAATCTGTGGACGCGCAGCATGGATCGCAAGCCAGGATAACTTTCTGGGTCAAAGCAATGACGCTTGGAATGCACAGGGTGAAACTCATTGTGAAACTTGCTGTACCTGTGGGAAAAACGCTGGTGGCTTCTGTGCTGCACAGCTGTACTCACAGCCTCAGAAAGAAAGGACCCTGAAGATCTCAACCGGAAGGGCCCGGATCGCAACATGCTACGCACTCCGTTCTCGGACATCAGTCGATAGCCAAAACGCTGTTTTCTGCCGTCAGAAGATTTGATGCAAATGGTTCGAGAGGCTTGCGCCGGTTTCGGCTTTTGATAGTGGGTTTACGGACCCAAGAACCGAGCGGGCACTTCCTGCTGAGCCGGTCCAGCCAAATCATTTCACAGGCTGACAGAACTTGGCCGGATCCACGTAATTGGCCACTGCAGTGGCCAAGAGGTGCTCCTCGGATGTCTCAGGCTCCCAGTGTGACACACCCAACAGAGTCGGGTTTGACATTGTTGTCAACGCAGAATCCAACATACCTTCGGAAATACATTCCCTAAGCCCTCAGCCGTAACTCGCAAGCAAGTCGCCGGCAGCTCATCTGGCTCCTTTCAATTATGTTCGTCGGGATTGCTTTGAGGAGGCAGTGTTACTTGGTCTGACATACAGGGTAGGCCGGGCAGGCCCGCGAAGGCAGGTGAGCCAGCATCAAGAGATCCTTGATGCCTTTTATTTGGGTCATCCCCTCAGTCCTCGCTTGTCACTGCCCTCTTCCAATAACTGATGCGCGTGCGTGGCTGCTACTATTGCTGTGGCTGTTGGAGAGCTACATGTCTACATTCCGACCAGCCGTGTCCAAAGATCCCTTTATGTCGCTCCAGAGTTGGCTTGCTTGTCCACTCCTTTCGGGGTCCAGAGCTCATGTTTGCCACTTTCTTTCATTGCTGGAAGGTTTGCCTGTTGCCAGTCGCTATAGCAGGTTTCCCTGGCCGTTTCCAGAAATAAAGACCAACCTGCAGGTGCAAGTGATGAAAGTGCAAGCAGCATGTGTGCAAATGTACATGTCCCCATGCTGTGGAGCTTACTGGTAGTTTACGACTCAGAAACTAGGTAATTCATACACCTGTGCGAATCTCTAGCGCAACGCATCGCTGGTTGTGGTGAACATAGGTGCCAGAAAGTCACACACTGCAAGAGCTCAGCAACATCATGGCTTCCTTAAGTCCCTTCAGGCCCGGACTCTTTCGAAAGCGAAAACGGACTGCTCTCAGACTTGGGGTAGCCTTCGCCTCCAGCAGCAGCGCGCAGCTCAGAACAGCTCCGCGCATGGACTTCAAAACCACACCTGGGGCTCAGGATTCAAAAGATGATAAGACTAAGCGGCGAGTTCAACATGCTATTTAGTCAGTTTTCTGGAACAGCACCAGGAGGGAGGCAAACGGTTCAAAGGGTCAGGGCTTGAGCCTTTGATGAGAAAGTTCATGGCGCCTTAACATGCCGTAAGAGCTTGCACCCGCACACACACACAGACACAGACAGAGACAAACAAACACACACACACACAGACAGACAGTGACACTGTTGTGGCCAGCGACGAACTAACTTAGTCTTTTGTCCTTCTATTCTAGTGGCAGTGCGTCTTGCGGTTCCTATTGGCTGTGTTCGGCTGTTCCTGCAGCTGCAGGCAGTGCCGCCGTGAAGATTGTGGTGGTAGTGGCAGTCGTGGCGTGAAGGCGGCAATCGTGCCGATGCACTGCTGGCTTAGACTGCATGCATGATATGGCTGAGACTGAGTGCATGGAGGTGGCTCAGCGGCTCTTGCAGAGACGATTGAAGGAGCAAAGAGAAACATGAAATCGGGAGGCCAAGCTTGCATTCCAAAACGTGGCGCGAGATCGCTGAAATTTTGGGACTTTAGACTCAAGCTGCTCGACCCACCGTCGCTCCATATGACAGCCACACCTAGGCAACGGAGCGTAACGGAGCAACCTGAGCCTTTACCACTGCAAGCGAGCAGCCAACTGTCGCACCAGTTGCTCGTTCAAACGCGATCTCCAGATAATCGTTGGGCTCGTGGTGAAACTTGCACTGCAGTAATTTACAAATCCTTGGTACAATGCAAGTAAGAGATTTGAAGATATCTGCATCTGGCTGATGCCCCCAACGTCTTTTGTAGAGCTGCTGCCAAGGTGCAACATTGGCTTCTTGATGAAGGCCTTCTTTACAAGCCAGGGCCCTTCCTCCACTGCCAGAATCAGCTTGACCCGCTGTCGTCCTCGGATCTTGAACATTTCAAAACAACTCGGCCCTCAACTTTCAACTCAAGCAACGAGTGAATCCATCCTAAACCCGACTCGCCGCCAAGGTCTTCTGAGGCGTGTGTGGCTTTTCAGGAACCTTAGGGGGAGGTGGGGCTATACTTCCTTAAATCGGCCTCCTTAAACCCTCATCAGGTTCTGAGTAGGGGTATTACGGCCCCCCACCCAGCTAAGGTGACTTCTGGACCACAGAGCCTCGTGGCCTCAAGGTGGGCCAAGGTGCTGGTGTCATCGTCCCCGTGCAGGAAGCTCCTCCAGACGCGCGACCTCAACTCAAAGAGAGATGAGCAGCCTTCCACAGCGGAGAGCCGCGGTTTGGAATGTTGAGATCGGCTGCCCAGCTGCTGTGGCGAGCTGTCATCGCTCACCCACGCAGCATCCGGGTTCAAAGCCATCGTCATGATGGCCTTAGCCACTTTCGAGGCTTCGACTCATGGACTGACTCATAAATGGCTGCGTGGCTTCCAGGGAACTACTACATGTAGATTGTCGGAGTATCAGTGACAGCTTCGGCGGGTGCCTGGTAGTCTCCAAGCACGAAGTTCGTGACCAGGAGAAAGCGCTTGTCGCCTGACAAGATTGCTTGTGACACTTCAGCTTTGGCCATATTTCGTGTTCATCTGGGGCCGCTTGACGCGTACTGGCTTAAGATGAGCACCCCACCATCTTTCCTGGCACAGGCCGGATAGAAGTCCGGATGCGTGGAGACTCGAGTGACAGGGCCATCCTCACCTCAGCCAGATGGTTCACACATCCACAAGTAGGGAAGTGCCACTGCCCCCTGTGAAGGTCGGCGACTGCTTCTGCCGAGTTTTTTGTGCCCAGAATTCATTCTGGCCAGACCAGCTGCCAACAGCGCATGCAAACATGCCCCGTGCAGGACCGGGCTTTTGCCAAACTTAGAGCATCACCGATGGCAACCCAATCCTCGGTGCGAACCGATGCAGCTTACCCGCGCGACAATCTCGCGCAACGTTTAAGGCCCCTCCTGCAGAAAAACGAACCTTTGGGCCTAAGCCTAAACCCTAAGCCCTAAGCCTCAGCCACATGACGTTGAACAAGCCTCAAGGACTCTAAAAGGCTGGACGTCCTGGCTGCTGGGCCTGTCCCTTTGACCTATTCATTGCAAACACCAACTGCTTGTGAGTGAACGAAAGCCTCCCCCATCCTCTTCGTTTCCAAGCCGCGCAGTTGACCAGTTCCAACATGGTCTCTGCACAGGGAAGTTTTCGCCGATCACGGAAGTAGGTTTCCTTAACCCGATCGCGGCCGCGGCTTCGTGGTCTGTGAGTTGCTGTTTGGGGAGCGGTTTGTTGAACAGCCGTTCACGCGGAGGTCTGCCCAATCTTTCAACCAGAGTCCAGTGTGTGACTGACAACTGTGCCGAGCGTCCGATCGAATTCGCCAGTGTCTGCAGTCACCTGGGGTGGAGCTGGGTGGTAGCCGCGGGACCCTCGTCCCGGCAGCTTTGATAATGCTAGGGTTCCGCAAGGAATTTGTAGCGTGAGAACTGGAATTGTCTAGATGCCTCGATTCCAGGAATTCGGCAAATGACCGCGAGGACAAAGCTCGCCTCGGAAATCAGAACTCTTCAGCCTGAAACATGTGCATCACGATCCTGAAACTTAATGACGACTTGAGGCTTCCATGCTACGCTGCTACGAGCCAAAGTGCATCTGGCATCTCATCCGCCTTCGTGCGTTCTCCATGCTTACTGCAGGTCTTGCGAGAATGCTCCCATAATCCTCTCCTATGATCGTTTCGGCAGGGGTCCGATGCAAATCAACAGTCGTTCCCTTCCATGCTGGCATCCTTTGTGCGTTCTGTTGTGAAGAAGACGAGTGAATGCCCAAGTCTTCCCGTCTTCCCTAAATTCGGGCAAGAATCTGCGCTGGCGAAAGCTGCGACGAGGTGCTTTGACCTTAGCTACCGTTTGGCAAAGCATCTTTGCCGGCACTGGGAACTTTCACACCAAGCTGAAGACTTGACAAAAAGAATGAAAAGATCCCCAACCAAATTGATTAATTTGAGTAAGTTGAGCGACCCGGCTCCGCGCCGCCTTTGGGCGTCTTCGCGCCGTCTCGTCGTCTGAGTTGTCGCTTAAAGAGAAGAAGGCCTCCTGACGAACGGAAACTGAGTAGGGTGCAGCCCCCTGGTGCCATTGGATGCTTCATTATCTTGCATGACTCGAGTGCTGGGGCAGGTAAACTAAAGTCAATATAGTCGACCAGGTTCGTCATAGCGTCCAAATTCTTAGACGAGGGTCGTCGTTTTCACCTGCCACCTCATCTTCGGCTCCATGTGGCGGCAGCCTCAACTACGACGGTCCATCATGCGCTGCCCACCGCCATGACAAATGCGGCAGCATTTTTCAAAATGATTTAACGCATCCTCGGGTCGGATCGCCTAGCTGACACTAGCTGTCACGCCCATTGCGGCTGTGTCGCTCAAGCGGGGTCACTCCCCGCCTCAGTTGCACAAAACTCACAACTCCGTAGCAGCGGAATGACCGAGCCAAAAGACTAAAAGTTTTCGTCGCGGTCGAATTCCGCCGGTGTTTAACAAACCAGTTTACAAACTGTACAGAATGCCATGGCGACTAGACGGATGAAGACGAGGCTTGTGAATTGTTTTATATTTGTATAAAAATATAAAACAACTCCTACTGGTAGTTGACTGATTGCCCTCCCGGGCCTCGCTGTCGCGGACTGCAGTGCAGGGGATGAAGCGCGGCTTGAAACCTCTGCGTGCCACTGCATCTTAAAACATGCACATCAGCACCACATACTTGTGACAACAAAAGGCTTTGCAGTTGCAACGATGAGTGCTGATTTGTTTTATGTTTCAGGTATCTTTTAGGATCTTGTTGGCAATATGTTTGTTGACTGTGATTGTTGAGTCACTACGAAGAAGCATCGAGCTACCACCATTCTGGTTAAGTTAATGGAGAGTGGCGAGTTCAAGCAGCAGCTGCAGCAGCAGCTGCTGTTGTTGTTGTTGCTGCGGTGGTAGTGGTAGCGGTCGCAGCAGTGGCAGTAACAGCAGTAACAGCAGTAGCAGCATCAGCAGCAGCTGCAGGAGCCTCTGCAGTTGTAGCACGAACAGTAGTACTGCCTAACATCCAGGCAGCCGTCTCATCGTCGGAAGTGCTGTGGGCGATGGCGGCGGCGGAGGGAAACGTGGGCGCTGGGCGAATCCTGGAGGCTTCAATTTGGCTTCCCGTTGCAAATCTTATAGCTTCCTGCCAGTCCACTGACATGAAAATAGGAAAAGGCTGAGGAAGGGACTGCAAGTGCGCCCAGAACTTGGGATCCTCCAACGACTGCTTCACGTCTGCTCGTTCTAGAACCTGCAGGAAACTAAGGAAAGGTTAATCCTAGACACGCTGCTGGCCAACTTTAACTTCGCCGTTCTGGCTTTGATGCTTCCAGCTACGGCTGCCCCTGGTGCTCTGTTCCAAGCCTGGCAAACGGCAGCGACGATGAATTGCAAACGGCGCCTTCCAGGGTGCAAAATGTCAGGCACACCTAAACAGACAAGGAAGACTTGCAGCGGCATGACATGAATAGCCTCTTCTAGAGGCTCCAGTAGTGATAACAAATTAAGCCAGCGTAATGAACCAAGCAGTCCAAGCCCTCCCCAAAAAGTACCACTCCACCCGCCCAGGCTCACCCCAAGGGAGAAGGAGCACGTGCACATCGCTGTTGTGGGCACGTTTCGGAAGGCTGAAGCACACGAGAGTGCGTTGGGAAGCTAAAGGAGGCGAATAGCGTTCGAGCGCTTCGAAGGTCAACATGAACACAGGAATGTGGCGCCAGCAATCGCCAGCTCATTCTTTAAAACCCCAAGATTTTTCCCCGTGACACTGTGGCAGGAGCGCGCTTCCCAAGTTCGGGAACGCCAAGGTGGCAATGAATTCGCCACAGCCGCAGCGTGGACTGTTGAAAGAACTCGAACGCGTACACCGCACAAGAACGCGAGCTGCGGAGGGACCGCCGGGTGCGGTTTGTGGGCAGCAACCAGATCCCCTTTGCGTGCGGGCACACCCCTTCTGGGGGAATCTCACTTGTCCGCACAACCTAGAAAAGAGACTGGAAGGGTGTCGTTCAAAAAGTGGAGCGGTCTTTTCAGCAACGCGCACCTCCGGTGCACACGCTGGTCGTTGAAAGTCGCCTGCCTCGGTGTACAGCTTGTTATTGGCTGAGCCAGAGATTGCATCCACAGTCTACAACAGTCTGCTATACGAAGAAGAAATACAAAGAACCTTCCCGGTGCAATCCAGCAGCAGCTTGGCAGAAGCCTGCGACACCTGCAAGTTCGACTTCATAACTGCGTGTGGATTAATATTCTTGCGGCCCTCTGTCTTGCCTTGAGAAGCTGAGAATGCGCAACGGGGCTGAGCCGATCCAGCGTGGAGATGGTCTCCTGCAGGACCGGAGGCATCACAAGGATCCGAAGGGATGCCCGAGCTGACTTCCCCCAACCTCACATCCAGTGAGTGCTACAGTGAGTGGATTTGCCTGACAGGCCCTCTTCTGGAACTGCCGTTAAGTTCGACTCCCGTCTAGAAAAACGCCGACAAGTGCGTCCGGGGTGCCAGCATGATTGGAAACACTACCCGGGCCCGGTCTGCGCCAGCACCATCCTTGCAGCAGGAACTGCTCGTTACTGTCCACAGCTTTTATGTCGCAGCCCAGATGCAGCCTACACATGTTCCTTGGCACCTGCAAGGCACAAGTTGCTAGGACGGGGGAGATTTAGTTGGAAAAGTACACGGCGGAGCGAGCTCGAGTGCTTGAACGCTCGCGCGAAGTCGAACATCGGTCGCTACGTAGATTTTGTCAGGTTAGGAGATGTGCAGAACCCAGTTCGAGCCGCAGTGCGCCTGGTCTGAAGGCGAAAATTGGACTGTCTCACTCAGACCTCTGATTCACAAACCCGCCTCCCCTAATCTGGAGAGGTTCTCCTACAGTAAGAGCCACTACATCGTTGCAGTCTTTTCCATGCTCTCTACTGAGGCCTTGATTATCGAAGGGGCGACAGCAAGAGCAAGAGTCAGCCAAGCGGCGACGGTGCACTGATCGAAGTCCTTGCCGAGGGCGCTAGCGGCCGCCCTGACATGTGACATCCATGTGACATCAGCCGACCCAACATCAGCGAAAATGAGCGCCCCTTGGGCCCGAGCTCGATGGTTTCCACCACAAGTCGCCGGTGCAGCAGAAAGAAGAGCGGTGCCAAATGTTCCTTGCGGCTTCGGGCAGAGTCGCGGAGAGTGGAAGGTGCATCTTGGGATGTGTACTGACCACTGACCCGCAGCATTGCTGTCAAGGATTCTTGGACTTCCGCCACGTCCGCCTCGACCATCCACGGCTCCGGCTGTGCACGTAGCAGATACCTAAGCTTGAACTGGTCTTAACAGAAGCTACATCTCTACATCATGAGAAGACTCTTAACACAGCCAGAGTGCAATCTTTGGATCCACGGAGCAAAGGCCCGTGTCACCTCGTCCAGCACCGCCATGCGTGCCTCGCTTTTCGCGCTCAGCGGAGGCTTTCCTCTTTGTCTTTCCAAAGGTGCCTCGACGGAGGCTGTCTCGTAGGCCTTCAGTTGCCACTGGCTCCACCTCACCTCACGAAAGGGCGCCATGCGTGGAAAACTGTTGGGCTAATGTTGTTCCTCGCTTCTTCTGCCAAGGATCCATGAACTTCAAGCGCCGCAGCGTGGGTAGCTGCGTATCGCCTGGACGAAGGGTGAGCACTGTCGCACCGCAGAAGCATTCCGACCATGGCGACTGCTGTGGCCTTCAGGGTGGTGGCCGGTCTCGTGCTGGAGCTCCTTCGAGCACACAACAGCCACGGAGGCACAAGAGAAGATGCAAAGACACATCAAAGAGATGACATGAAAGACCAAACTGCTTGCCTGACTGCCCCAATATCTTGCCCACCTCAGCTTTCGCCAAGAGCCACAATTTCAAACCACATCTTCGTTTCAGTATTGCTCATGAAGCAAACTTGCCGAGATGCCTCTAAGTTGGGTCCTTCCCCGCCCCAATAACAAACACCAAAAGCCAAGGTTAGACTTTTCTTATGAACTGGTTTATATTGGAAATGAGTCTAAATTTAGGATATTGGATTATTTAAAATACGGGCTGTTTCCGGCTTTTTTCAGTAAAATCGACTAGCTTATGATTAAGGGTATATGATGAAATAGCCTAGGTTGTTTGAAAAATAACTTTGAGACAGAATGTCTTATGTTATAAAAATCACCAGAAAACATGCTAAAAAAAAGCAAAAGCAGGTAAAACAAAGCAAACATGTATGTCTCCTGTCGTGGTAAGAAAACTTACAAATTTACTTAGAAATTCATAAAACTGTGCACAAAATTAGTCAGAAAATACTTAGAGTTGCTGTACAAAAAGCTGCGTCGGAGAGATAAAATGAACCTTGGATTCCCAACACTCTGTATGTGTACATGGTTGCTCTGCTACTACTTAGAACACACGGTTCTAGCCTTGCGATTTTCGATTTTCGTTGGGAATCACATAAGAGGTCTTGATGTTCGAGCCCGGTCTTACAAATACACAACAAAATATAAAAGTTACCCCGCCCTCTAACACCTACCTCCAAACCTTCTTTTTGTGTTAGCTTTATACCAAATGATCCATCCATTGGCCTAAGCATAGCCTGCAACCTTAGCTTGTGCGAACACCCGTAAAACATGAATAATATCACCACGTATTATCCACAACCGTTCTATATAAAAAAAGGCATATCCTATTTTATCAAATAGTTTGTTTTCCTATTTGCAAAATAGTATATTATCCTATTTTTCAAGGATAGCCTAACTCATGGGAAATATAGTCTAAGCTTGGCTTAGAGGTGTTCCCCGTTAGAACGCCACGCCGGCATGTAAAGATTTTCCAGCCCACAGCACCAAGACAATTCTCGTGTTCATGGTGGAGGCAAAATCCAAGGCACTGGTAGCCACCGGCACCGCCCACGAGGGCCGCCAACGCAAGCCCCGGGACGACAAGCCTCACGCGCAGCCGCACGCCGCCAGGCTACAGGAAAGCCGAAGCCGCGACAGCCAAGTCACGGTGATGCGGCGACGCCCAAGGCACCGCCCATTGCAGCACCGACCTGGGGAACGGTGAAAAAAAATGGATAAGGTTCTGAATTTGTGCGGCATGTACGCTCCTTCCTTCTGGCCGGTTGCCACGATTGCTGCAGAAGGTGTGAGAATGTAGTTTTTGTCTAAGCACCTGCTGCTAAAGGCTGAGAGAAGGCTGAGGCATCAGCAGCACCCAGCTTCCAGCTCCTCCACGAGCTTCGCTCCTGAACACGGCAAGTCTATTGAAAGCCGTTCCACGTCTGGGGCACTGCTCTATTCCATTCTACTCCGGTCTAGATAGTCTAGCATGTTTTGTTGTCTCGCCGAAGTATGAGACGGCATGCCTTGATGTACTCGGAGAAATCAGTCTCGAATTTCTCTTCGATAGTGACCTGCTCCGAGGGAAATTTACCTCAGCGAGATGCAATCAAACACTGCTCCTATGAACTGGATCATGATTCCTCCGCCGCGGCTGTCAGGGCGAGAGGCTTGAGCTGGACTTCGATGCACTTCGAGACCCTGGAAAAATTCATGGGTTGAGAGAGAAGTGCTTCTTTCGCAGGCTTTTGGGGAGTGCACCTCCTCTTTGCTGTGTGCAAGGCACTGGGAGTGTGAGAGCCCCGCAGAGATTCCCCCCCCCCCCGACCTTGCACAGTGACGGAACTGGGAGTGCTCGGGCATGTTCCCACCCTCAGGTGATGAGGGGCATCAGCCATCATCAGCCAACAATCCCACAGCCACCTCGCCCTGCGTCTCAGCCAGGGAGCTCCGATCCCTGCTTGGTCACGGGGCTCTGCATCGTCAGCCGGCAGCGAGGCACATTCAGCTACCAAATTTGCTCAGTATGAACTGTACTGGGCGGCCAGCCCCCACGTCCAAACAGTTGGGTGGTGCTTGGGTTGGGTTGGCTCCGGTCGGTGGAAAGGCCAGCAAACAATCGCGTTTGGTAGAAATGCTGTCATCTGCTGAATGTAAACAACTGGAACTGAAAGTAGAAGCCCTACGTCAAGACTCGCGCTAGTCATCGAAGCTTGAACAGTGTCTTGAGCAATGTCGAAGGCTGAATGCCGTAGCTCTACGAAGCATCATTTTCGTGCCGACTGCATGTCTGTAAACCAAGAAGCTGCAGCCATCGAAATGTCGAATAGACCTGACCCGGCACTCCTCTTTTACAAGACATACGCAACATCGGAAGTTGGGAGCCACTAATTACTACTGACGAATGAGAACCCGCTTCACCTCCGCGAAGTCCCAATGACAGTTTCGGTCATGGTCTTCGCCCCAAATTTCCCCTAATGAACCCGAGCTTGTCCCGTTGGCTCGCAGATCCTGTTCGAGGCAGGCACGGGAAAGTTGCTGAGAACAGAAGCGTCTGTCTGCTCGGTCGGGTGTTCTGCACCTTCGAGAGAGTCCCCCAAATAATCTGCGATCGAATCCGGCCATGAGGCTGAGTCACTGACTATGGAGCGGACCTGTCCAAAGCTTCTGACATGACTCCAACTCCTCACTACATTCCAACCCTTGTGAGGCGAACAATCCGTGAGGCCTGGTACTCGAAGCCCATGTGGAACATGCGGTCGGCTTCATCTAAAACCTTAGCACAGCTTCAGCTCTCCGCTCGGGGCTCCGCTTTGTGCACAGCTGGAGCTTGGACCAGGCCTGAGCCTCAAAGGCTGAGGCTCAGGCGATATATGTACAGCGCTGCAAGTTGCAGCCTTTCATCCTTGGAGCACAGTGGATTCAAGTTGTTCCAAGTAGTCCGAGACCTCGAGGTGTTCGGTCTGAGGCTTCGGCTTCACCACGTCGATGAGACGCCCGGGGTTGCAAATCGCAATCTCGGCTCCTCCTCGGAAACTGGAAACAAATTGTGTCCTGGTTCCCTAATTAATACATAAATAATGGTGTAAACGCCAAAACATGTGGAGGACTTTTGGATAGGGTAATCAAAAGAAAACTTCATGCCTTTAAGGCCGCAAAAGAGGAGCTGAGCAGGGCTCCGGCAAGTCTCGAAAAGAAGCTGGGATTCCCCGCGTTTCACCTCCTTGAACTGCTCCAGTTTGCTGAGGCCACCAGCCAGCGTTACACTACGCATGCCTCAATCCGGAGAAGGTGCAATCGAAGAGGGAGTATGCGGGCTGCAGAAAAGACAATATTCAGGGCCCATTCCGTCAGCCCTCCACCCAACTGCTTGTTGAACTTGAAGGTCTCGGTCTCTATCTGCACCTTGACAGACAAGTTGGAATTCCTACCCTCGAGGACGAAACAAGAAACGATGCAACAGCAAAAGCGATCTTGGCACGGGACTGCGAGCTCTCGCGTCGGACATAGAACGATGCCTCTCTGGGGATTCAGGGAGAATGTCACCCCCGCACCCCCAGGCCAAATAAGCGATCCGACGGGCCGTCGCCTATGGGGCCATCATCCTTCTGCAGCTCTGGCCTGGGGCTGGTTTGACCCGAGACCGGGGTTTCAGAAAAACCCAACTTCGGGACCCTTAAACTTAGGATCCCGCGAATGTGGGCTCTAAGTTCTATCTATAATTGCGGTCTCCCCGTAGACTGAAGCTTCCAGACTGCCCGTCTCAAGATTCTTCGGTGGCTGCTCCAGTGCTACCGTTTACGAGAAAGCATCTTACTCACCACATTCCTCTGAACCCTATTGGAGAAACCCCCCAAGAGCCAGAAGCTCACATTTCGGACTGCGCCTGGTTCGCTGTAGAACATATCAGGGGCATTGCGAGGCTAAGTATTTGTGCTACAGGATCAAAACTATATTGCGAGAATATACTGATATGCGAGGAGTGTGCAACGCGTTGAAGTCGCGAAACGCAACTCTACCACTCTCTCATGTCTTATTCCCTGTGAACTGCTCTGCTCTGCTGTCAGACTGATTCCGGAAGCTGGGCCACGGGCTGGGCAATGGCATGCACAAGCCTTGCATCTTTCCACATTCCAGATCAATGCACTGCACTCGAGGCTAGACTAGACTCGACGGATGGCAGTGCAGGCCCTGCAAGCAACAAACACTTCGGGCCAACAGTGTCGCGGATGCGACAAATCAAATCAAGCGCACTTCACGTAAGTGTTTATGTCCAACTGCCCGAGCAAGTCAGCAAGCCTGAACACACATACATGTGAGCAGCCTTGGACATGGATGTTGCTGGCTGCGTTGAAACCTGAACAAAACCCTTTAGTACGGTCATAGGATGACAGAGTTCAAGAAGCCATCGTTGAAGTCCTTGTTCGCGATTTCATGGCTTGTCTGCTCCCGAACATGCCCAAACAGGATTCATGTAGGGTGTATGTCTTCAATGTTGGCTTCCAGCTGCAGCCTGGAAACATTGGAAGCAAATAGGCAACGGTCTTGCCACTGCCGGTCTCGGCCTCAAGCAGGAAACACAACTTGACAAATTGACCCACATTTTTCCAAGGCCTCAATGCTAGCGTCCGTTTTCAACACTCTACCACAAGCTCTCCAGCTTCGTGGGTTCAAACGGTGGACTCCTCGCCGACAAGAAGCTCAGCAGTCGCGTCCGATGCAGTGCCAGTGCAGGATTTCGACGAGGTGAGTGGCGTGTGCGCAGTCAGAGACCTGCTAAAACGGAAATCTGCTGAAGCGAGGGGAACGCTATCCTCTCTGTCGACTTGAAGTTCTGCGCCATCACGAGAGCATGTTAACGTGGCCTCCAGCGTGCTGTCTGCAGGACAGGACGTGTTGAGCGACCGTAAAGAAGTGGAAACCTCACAGTCTCGACCTCCTCCTCTCTTGACAACGACCATCTACACTCGGTGAGATTCGATAGACTTCATCTTTGATCAGAAGACTCGGCAGCACCAAACCTTCCTGCATTAGCGCCTGTGTTGCTGCTACAACCACCGTGGCGCGCCCGAGGCTCTTGAAGCCGTCCATGCCGCCGGAACTGCGCAGCCACTCGCGCGTGACACAGCGATAGACCTCGTCGTCAGACACAGGCCGAAGATCATCACCGATTCTGATGCTCCCTTTGTCCACCCGAGCACCAGGATCCCGAGAAGGATCAAACTCAAAGCGCAGGCCACTCACATGCAAGAAGCAGCCCTTCCTCGCTGGAAGTTGCGACACTGAGTGCTCCAAGGTCTCTAGCAACTCTTCGCCGCGCATATCCAGCACGCAAAGTGAGTCTTGGTAGGCCACCATGCCCAAAACGTCCTCCTGCGTCAGGACTCCTTTGTATGTCCTGTTTCCTCTCATCATGCCGCCGTTGATGAAGGCAGCATCACATCGGATTTTGCTTCGACAGGATTGCAGGATACTGTCTGCGATGAAGTTTCCGACATTCGACTCCCTCGAGCGGACGGTAGCTTCTCTGCAGTCTAGAACCACGTCAGACTGGAGCACGCGCCGTTGCAACTGCGGCCGGATAGATTGGTACACCTCGCTCTCAAATTTGGCAGCTGCTTGGTCTTGCCCTCCAGACTTCGAAACTCTGCGGAACTCGGAGCACCAGCGCCCCGAAACGTAGGTTATCTTGGAAAACCCCTCGAAGTCCGATCCGCTTTTCAAGACTTCACCTGGGCCACGGATGCTTGTCCCGACTCTGGGGCAAATCATGTGATCGTGGCCTCCCAAGATGAGGTCAATTCCTTGAACTTCCTGCGAAAGCCTCTCATCGGAGATCATGTCCATGTGGGTGAGGGCGATGACGATCTCAGCACCAAGCTCTCGCAGAATCTTCACCATGTCCTTCCCCCTGTCTACGAAATCCTGGAAGTACTGATGTCCGCCTTCGAAGAGTTGGGCAGCGTTCTGGTCCATGAGCCCGAAGAAGCCTATCCTCAAGCCTCCTACGTCCTTGAGAATGTGTGACCTCAATGGCAGCTGCTTGTCCCGTGCCAGGTTCCCCAAGTTGCTGAGGACCCACGGGAAGCTGCAAGCTTCAAAGAGCCTGCCACCTTCAGAGAAACCAAAGTCGAACTCATGGTTGCCCGGGCATGCAATATCCACTCCAGCCATGTTCAATGCTTTTGGCATCTGCGCGCCCGCTTTCAGGGTAGACCATGTAGAACCACCAAAAGCATCGCCACTGAACAGAACCAGGACCTGCCACCGTATGCACTTCGGACTGCTTTGAACACATCTAAGCCTTCATCACCGCTGCTGCCTGAATTGCAGTAGGTCAATAGCTGCTAAATAGCTGTTGTGCTGTCATTGGTCACTGCCCTTTGCAAGGTCCTCACAGGAATCGAACCCCATTTCTTCTCGGAAGTCGCGTCTGAAAGAACGAGGATCTGGCAAACGGCAGTGAACCTTGGCTTAAATTTAAAAACTATCCCCAATCAAAACGCAAATCACAGCGGCTGCCAGCCTGTCCGAACGTGCCTTTCATGGACTCTTGCTCCTCCCTTAGTTCCTTCACAAAACGCGCAAACTTCCCGTCTTGGATGTTGTAAACGTCATTGAAGTGGAGCAGCGCCAAATCCCTCATTGAGGGCAAAAAACTGCGAGGATTCTGCCACACATTAAACTCGAGCCGAGCCAAAGTTTGACCTCTGCTGGCCGGGCGCTGAAAGTTCTGAGTTTGCAGTTGCCCTGGGCGTCCGGCGACGCCGATAACATCCCGACCTGAGGTATCTGAGACTGTCCTCCCGTGTGCATGCGGCTAGCGCCTGCTGACGTAAACTGTCGTGACCAACGGTGACATTCTTCGTGGCGGCAGCATACGGATATCCTATTGCCTAATAATAGTCCTGCTTGTGTCGGTATGACTGGCGGCGGTAAGCGAAGCTACAACCGCGGAGAAAAAACTGCCCGCGAAGCACTGCGCGGGAAACTGCATAGTGAAAAGTGCTCGAGATTCGGCAGGATGCGATCTCGTGCGATGCATACACCGAATGGCTTGGCACCCTGCCCGACAAGGCAACGGGGATTGCCTGCGCCTGCGAGCTGCATCAGCTGGCCGCGCGAAGCAATCCCAGTGTCCCAAACATGCTGATCTCCAATTGCTAAGCTGCTTCGAGCACGGAGACGAGACCACCACCAGCACCACCGACAGTGGTTTTAGCATCATTGCGGAACAAGAAGGGCAGCAGCAAGCGACAGTCGCAGCAGCAGCAGCAGTCATCGTCAGATTCAATAGCATCGTCGTGGTCATTAGGTCACTCGTTCGCCAGTCATCCTATTCCTGTCCTCTGCCTCTTGATCTATTCATTCATCTTCCTGAACAGCCGCATGAGCACAATGATGATCATTGTCATCTGCCCCAGTGCAGAAAGCTGAGTGTTGAGAGCTGTGGCCCATGGGAACAGTCAAATCATTCATGAATGCGACTGACAGAGGGCCTGGATGGCCGTAGGCTGCTGGTAGCCGTGGCGTCGGATTCCCTGCGGACAGGTGTGCTTTTTCGTGTAAATCCGAGTCCGTGTTTGTGTGTGGTCCTGCAAAGCATCGCAATCAATCGCACTGAAAAGCTCAAGGAAACTTGTGAGAGATTTGATGCGGCAGGTCCGAGCCTCCATGATCTCTCGACCCAGCACGTGGGCAAGGTGGGCAAAGGACGTCACGGGAGCTACAATTTGCGATCCGGTCGCACCTTAGGCAAAGGCATCTTCAACAGTCGGCCCGATAGCATGCGGACAGGCATACTGCTTGAAGCCGCCGTCGAGGCTCACACTCACACGAAGATCGACCCGTGCTTGGGCGATCTGCACGTCAGACTGCATGCTCCGTGCTATCCGATGACGGTTTGTTCTTGACAGCTGATGCGAGAAGGTTGAGCAAGAAGACCCACAGCGAACGATGCCAGCCATGACCCACAGAATCCAAATCAGCGACGTTTGCCTGCTCGTTAGTCATCTTCGCCACTTCGTCGTGAGGCTTGTAGAAATTGGTCTGCACCTCAGACACATGGGAATCCAAGTGTCAAACATGGCGGAGGCAAACTGCCCCAATTTCGCACCGGGCTCCCTGCAGGGTTGTAGCGAATTTGCGAATGATCCACCTGAGCTGCTGTTAAAGGCCTGCGTCATGGCCAGCTCTCGTTGTCCTCTCTCTACCCCCCTGTAAGCAAATTGAATCCTATGCAGATGGTGAGTTGGACTTGGACTTCGGCAATCCCCAACTTGGCACACCCTCACGAGCTATTGGTTGAGGCCCCGAATGAAGCCAATCAACAAAAACCATGATGTCCCAGACACTGCTGGCAGGGGCTCGATGGGCTTGTTGCGCCGGTCACCATCCTTCAGCGCTCTGATGCCAGTTGCCGGTGCTTCGTCAGATCTCTCCCAAACTCCACGAAACTCGTGCAAGCCTGGCCGAGGCCTTTGCCTCTGCCTTTGCGCAGAAGATCCCCAACGTCTACACAGCGTTTACCCCTCCCGAGCCCCTGCTTGCGCCTCGGGCTCGCCCTCATTTTCAGGGTCTCCCGACTCCGGTTCGGCCTGCTCTCGGGATCCGAAGCCCGAGGCGTGGCGAAGCTATGCGAAGCTCGTCGAAGCCCGGCTTTTGCCTTCTCATAGGCCTCGAAGTAGGATGCCACAAAGTCCTGCCCGTGCTTCAAGGAGAAGGACCACACAGCAAGCTCTTGGGGGCCTCAGTGGACTTCCTTTCTCACTGCGGCCAAGCTGTCTGCCCATGGTTTGGAGCTCAGTGCTCCGAGTCTCCGAAGTGGCACAGGGAAGGGCTATACAAATGTGTCGCAGCCAGACGGAAGCGTCAGCCAAGCAGAGCACCAGACCGGCACCCCAGGCTTACGACAAGTCCCCAGGCCCCACGCCTGAAACGCAAATTATCTGTATGTCTCTCCACGCTTCAAAGTCGAGCCTCAAGCTCAAGTGGAGTTTGACAACATTGTCGGCTCTTGCCGTTCCAATGAACTCTGCGGCGGACAGCCGCTCAGGTTCACTGACCGCCAAGCCAAGAACTACAGACGATCCAGAGGATGTCCCCACGATGCCCGGCAACAAAAAGCGATGGAGGATAGAGGCCTAGGCCTAGTAAACTGCCTGATTCTTCGGTATACCTGGACAGCATGCAAAGAGGATGTGGTGGACGTCCCGTCGACAGAGGCCAGGGCGAAGAACAAAAGTTAGGCGTTGATATAACTGCCCAGGCAATTTGGAGGTTTCTAGATTCTAGGCATCATGGCATTTCCAATCGCAGCCTCGTCACTGGTTCCTCCGACTGCTGAACTTGAATTGAAACCAGGCTTCCCAACTGACTAGGTATCTTATTGGCAAACCGAGATTCCCGCAAGTCTAGACTAGACACGCTTTTGGATTCCCAGCCAGGCGTACCCGCCTGTGGCGCGTGCATCGACCGCGCGGAACGATGGCTCCCTGGCTTGGGGCCTTTGATAGCCGCATCCGCTCAGCTACCAGGAGATGTCAGTAGCAGATAAGGGCAGCCTGTCGAGCGACGTGCAGTGGTTAATAGATGATGCTCGACTTTCTTCGGCAGTCTTACATCAAGTGGAACAACAGCTGCGCTGCAGCAAGTGATCATGCAATGCGCGCACCAGCCGTAACTTCAACTGCGCAAGGTGCACAGCAACAGTAAAGGTTGCAAAGCCCACCTCACATCTTGCGAGGCTTCGACATGATCTTCGAGACGAGTCCAGGCAGATCCCATGGATGATACTCCTTGGATGACAGCCTAGCAGGAACCCATGCATGACGATGTACTCTGCAGTGTTAGTGAGACGAGCCTCACATATATACATATATACATATATATGTATATAGATGTATGTATGTATGTATGTATGTATGTATATATATATATACACACATACATAACCTACATATGCCTGAAGCAGTCACCCAGTGAGACCAGCCTCATATGCCTGAAGCAGTCACCCAGCTCCTACCTGAAGCTAGCCATGCTACAGGGGCTCAAGAACCATGAAACCTGCCTGAAGAGCTGCATACCTCACGGATCTATCCTGGCCTCGGGCCCCAGAAAGTCCTCTGAATGCGAGGCACTGTAGGCCGCTGGTGCCCAAGACTTTGATCGCAGGCCAGCACGGCGCGGACCCAGCGCTCCTTGGCTTCTTCTCCAATCCGCGTCTCACTCGGGCTCTCCCCAGACTCTGGAGCAACACATGGGCGTTGGGCTTTGCTAGTTAGCAGCTAATTACTCGCCACTGAAAACCCACCTACACTAGACCTACACAGTCCACATGCCAATGGATTGGTTTGGACGTTGTGGTGGGCCAAGGCCTTTACGTTAAGGCCGTAAGGTCGGGTCGCCAGTTCGTCCGCAAGGGGCTACACGCTCATTGCTGCCGGAGGCGCCGGCATTCTTCGCACACCGTCCCGAGCGCCCAGCACCGCACCAACGACACAGGCCGTTGTGCCTGGGAGAAACATGCAATGAGCTACTGAAGCCGAGGCGTCTCCTACAAGGCCACAGGCCCTGGCTTGAGTCTCCACCACCAGCGAGAGTGGCGCGCATAGCGTCCTGCGCATTGATCACAGTGGGGGCTGCTGAGAGCTGCGTGCGACGATGCCCACCCAGTTCCTCGAAGGAAGTTCCATTTTGCAGGTGTCTCACAGCGTGGCAAAACCTGGGCACGTGTCGGGGCAAGCGGCTTTCAAAAGCAAAAGGTGTCTGTACCCATGGTGTCAAGTCAGAAAGTGCTGCATCAGCGAGCAGCAGCGGGAGCGACAGAGAGAAAGACAAAGAGACTCGGGACGGACGGGATGCAGGATTCAAGTTCCTCAAAGCAAGGTCAGGGCACTTCATTCCCTGTGAAGCTGCATCCTTGTCTCAAGAGAAGAGGAACCACATTGCAACCTCACCACTACTACGTTCTTGGTCTGTTGGCGGGATCTCGGCAGAGCCCACTTCCTTGGAGAGCAGCGAGGTTGCCTGAGCCAGGAACAAGTAAAACCGGCGCCGCGTTAACCTTTTGGCGCAGATGGTGCAGCCCTGAGCCGGAGGCGGACATGTCAGAGAAGGGCAGCGGCCTGGGCTTTGCAGAACAACAACTCCTGAGTCCTGAGAGTCTTTACACCCACGGCAAAAAACCAGACGAAGCCCGGTGGCTCGCTGCCCTTGGCTTTGCGGACCCATCGAATAACCTGGCTGGGACGAGTGCTCTGCGCATTTCGCCGTCTTTTTCTACGCAGTATCGGCCTCTTCACAGGCAACCAGCTCCTCGCCTCGGTCAGGTCTGAAGTTTTGGAAAAAGGCCACATGCCTGAACTTCCATCGCCGGCCTGGGGGGGACCAGGCATCCGCCTCCTCGCCTCCCGCTGAGATGTGCGTAAAGCCTAGGCGCAGCTCATCTCCAAGAAGCGCACGGAGTGCCGGAGTCGCCTGAAGCCCGCGCCTTGGCCGCGCGGCCCATCGCCCGGCTTGGGAACCCCCGTGCGAATTCGCTCCTGCTGCCTTCAGAGACGTCACTGCAGTCTCTGAAGATCTCTGAAGTCTCCGACATGTAAGGTATGATGCTGCAGGCGACAACTGGCCTTTTCATCCACCTCTCCAGCTCTTCCACCGCCACCGTCCCGCTGGTTCCACCAATCAGCATCGCAATGGTGAACGCCAGGGCGGAGTTGGCATGAGCGATGACACCTCGCATTCTCGAGACGTCCCTTCTGCTCAGCATGCAGCTCCGAAGCGCTACAGTAGCTCACAGTTTCTGAAACCCGGCGATCTGCTGTTTATGCAGTTATGCGCAAAAGACATTCACTCTCCAGAGTTGTCTAATCCAGAAGTGGCACGGCTTGGGTGCGACAGCCGCGCATCCTCGTTTGCAAGAGCTGCGGCCTCCATTTGTTCAGGATGCATCAGGCTCAGAGTAGCTGCTCACCAATCATGTCTTGAACGATTACAATGGCATGCAGCCGCCACTCAAGGCCCCGTGAACGCAACATGGGCCTTCTCCGGTGACTTTAGCGCTGCGCCCATCACCGCCACGGCTGCACACCTGGTTCAAGTAAAGACTGCCCGCAGCTTTATAATGCTAAAATCTGAAAGCATGCCCTCTGAATCCAAGACTTCTTACGCCTTCCGAGACCTCAAAACCCAACAGGCTAGTGAGGTGGTGTGGCAAAGCCCAAGCCGACCTGACAAGTGCTCCGCTGCTGAGCGACTTCTGGTTCACCTCCGCACGATTCGCCGAAAGGCCGAAAGCTTGGTGCATCTTTGGACTTCCAAGCCTCACGGGCTCGTTCGGTCATCTTGTCGGGAGGCATTGGACGATGGAAAACCTCACGTCGGCAAAATGATGTTCTAGCAGCGGTTCGTCACATCGTAAGGCGGTCTTCCAGTACTCTGCTAGAAACCATGGCGTCATGACTCTGCACCACTCGCAACTGCACCCATCAAGCCGTCCATGCTCAAGCCTGCAAGCAGGCGCGATCTGCCCGGAAGGGGTGTGTCTTGCCCCAACGGCCATAGCGAACGGCCACATCCTCGCTGAGTCGAATCATTAACCCTGTCTTGCCAGCTCAGCCTCGTCTTCTAGCTTTACGCATTGGCTGCCTTCAGCTATCTCCAACACATCACGCGAGTCACTCTCACCCACACGCACACACAGGGGAAATGGGAAAGCATGGAACATCATGGAACTGAAAATTTGCGAGGCTTCTTGACTGCCTCTCTCCATGCATTAACCTCCCTTCTGATCCAAACACTAGCATCCCAAACGATTTTGGCTTTGGTTTGTGCAAGAATATGTAGTCAGGGAAGGCGGGACCCGGATTGAAGCAGTAGGAAACATCGCCAAAAACGACAGATAATGAGAGAACCTACACACCTCAGCCTTCTCAAACTGCCTGGTCCCCGACATTTGGCGCTCCTCACACGGGAACACTGATCCCTCCGCATCGGCCAGCGCCTCCGTGGAAGGGCTTGCGGATGTAAGCAGCTCACGGATTGAATTCAAAGGCAAGCAGAGGAAGGCATCAGCATTCATGTGATCTAAGCTTGACCTGCACCCAAAGAGAACAACAAATTCGCTCGCCATCAGCTCCGTTTTCCGCTCTCGTCATCTAGAGCCGAACCTCCAAACACGCATGATGTGACCCTTCCCCAGTCAAGCGAGGTCTAGAGCTCGATTGAAGCCTCGTGGTCTCCAGCCCCGAACACGAGGCCTCTGCCAAACACAGCAGCAGCTCTGTGTGACCAGTCACCTTAGTCCAAGAGCTGCCTTTGAGTTGGTTTCAAAACGTTGAGCCTCTGTTCTTCTGGCATTATGGCACTATGCTCCCCATCCTCCTGTCCTTCGTTTTGAGGAATTTCTTTCCCCACAGTTTGCCCTCAAGCATCGTGCCAAACTACACATGTCCAACAGTAAGACTGCCGGAAGAACAGTCCAAAAGAAACCGGCGTGAATCGTAGCATCCTCGACAAAGCTCTCTGCCTTCTTCGACCCTTGCAACTCAACATCTAGATGCCTTTCATTTGGCTGCTGATTCTACAAGCACTGGACGTACCAGCACCCTCAAGCCACAAAAGCTTAAAGATTCCTAGAGCGCACAGTACATTTGTGCCGCGGCGCCTGTCCTGGGGCAACTGTCCACAGACCGCCACCGCACATCTCCAGCGCCTTTCGCTGTTGAGCAGCAGTTCTCTGCGACTACAAGCAAAGAGACTCAGCACTACTGCCTGCAACGGTCTAACTATCATCATATTTCCGGGTTTCGATACTCCCTGCCATCAGAGCCTTGTCCACCTCGAAAGCGTTGACTGCCATCGGCTCCTGCAGAACGTTATACAAACGGCCAAAAATATGAGAAGAGGCAATACATCGCGCCTGGCCCCCCAGTGGCGCGCCCAAAGCGTCCCCAGCAGCAGCCCCAAGGCAGGCGCCCAGCGCGGCAGCGGCGGCTGTGCCCTCAGCCGGGAGCCTGAAAGAAAGAGAGCTTTCTGTGTGCGTTGCTGCGTTCGTCTTCGTTCGTCTTCGTGGAGACGGTGAAAATATGCGTTCAAGCCGCTCGCTCAGAGCGGAATGGCCCCTGCCAGCCCACCACACCATGGCCCACACCTCGGAGGACAAACAAGCAAAACCAGACAGCCAACCGGCAACCGGCTGCGCTGCGAGGGTCAGAACGTTGCTCCTAATTCCAAGCGCTGCCGCAGATCCATGTGCACAGCATCCGATGAGGCTCTTGGACTCTTGGCTGGGATGGCAATCATAGCATCTGACGACGTTTGCCACGGGTTCGTACCGGGGCACCCTTTCAAGAATGTCCACATTTGGTCTTCCCAGCTGCAGAACGTCCTGGCCAGGGGCAGCTTGACTAGCGGCTAGCGGCCAGTTCAGGACCCAGTCTCTGAAGGACCTCGCCCTCCGGGGTGGAGATCCGCTCGAAACCCGCCACGCGGAGAAGCTCGATGGCAGGCATGACCTTCGAAGCGGCAAAATCGACCCACAGCTGCAAACAAGGCTGCCACTGACGTCTAGGTGGCGACTTTTCTTTCATCTAAGTGGCTGAGCGGACCGAAATCTGAGGGGAAAGATAGGGAAACGAGCGACGAAGGCAAACGTGTTCCCTGCCACACACGGGCACCCACCCTTCTCCCCCTTGCCACGCATGGCAAACGTCCGTCGGGCCTTCTGGCCGGAAGCTTTGCTCAGGTTGATGCACCTGCGCAGCACAGCCGCTCAAGGGGCCGCGAAAGTCTTACACTGCAGATGGCCTGTATTTGTCGTTGTTAGGATATCGTCGGATGTTGTCCAAAATACGTTCCTCGGTGAACCAGTGGCACATGCTCCTAACTCCCATCAGCGAGACTTACAGTGTGACCACAAGAACAGCTTGGAGCTACGGTAGCGATGATGATTTCGTGATCTCTTGCAACGCAGCTCTGGAGCCGTGACATTGTGGGCTGAGGGCGGGGACAGGAAGCTCAATGCTGAGACCCCAACTAAGAGCTTCAGGACTTCGTCGCCACCTGCAAAACAAACACGTATCAGGTGCTGCACCACAAAGGCAAAGTCAGGGAGAAAGAGTCAAAATGCCCGAAGGACGGATGTTTCAAACATGAACGGGTCTTGGAGCTGCTGAGTAATAGCTCCCGAGAGGCACAGAATGAACTCTCTCCGAAGCATGCCGGCAGGATGTCCGATTCAGGCCCTTCTTTGTGAACTCTCCTTCCGGCCGGACCCGGATCGAGCCTTCGCTTCGGGCCACTTGTGCCAGCACGTCGTACGCCTCTGAACCATCCCAACCGCACAAAGCTGTGCAAGCCAGCGTGCTGAGATTTTCGGCCACGACGAGACAGCTTTCACTTCGCTTAAGGTGAGAACCAGCCTGAATTCCTCCAGAGCCCCTCGTGGCCGTGGCATAGCCTGCCGACGAACGAATAGCATCAAGGAGGAAGAAAGCTGATATCTTTGTATACCGACCAGCCTACATATGTCAGCATGTAGTTACGTAGCATGAGTTCAGACAAACAGTACGCTGCACACAACAAAGAAATGGTTCAAGAGCCTGCTTAGGCCGTCCTGGTTTTCTAGAATCGCAAGGGCATCAGCGCACGATATCATGCGCCTAGGCTACATGAAACCTGTAATCCAATCTGATGATTGCAACTGAGTTCGGCATGGTGCCAAACTCCGTTGCCGGGAAATCCCTGTAGTCAGTCAAGAGGACAGCAACTCTCAACTGTTGTTGTTCTTACGGTCTTACAATGCAGATCTTCTACATGTATTCATCTCCCTGCTGATTTCTCATCTAATATTCACAGAACTCACCTTTTTCCACCAACACTGCCACCCACTGTTCTTTCCTCAGGTATGGTATGTGACTCTTTGTTTCTCTCTCTGTCGTGCCTTTGTCCAGGGTACCGCTGAGAGGCTGAGAGGTTCCCAAAACCGGGCGAGAGAAACGGATTGCTGATATCGATTTCAAGCCTTGGCATCAGCCTTAGACTGGTATCTCTCATTGGTACTAATGTCAACTCTTGATTAATAAAC